GGTACAATTATGTCAGTTAATAGCAGTCTTTTTGTGTTGTACCAACTTATACAAGGTATAGGGGCGCGGGTGGCTCTGTGGGTAAAAGCCTCAGCGCCTAGGGCTTGCCGATCGAAAGGTCGGTGGTTCGAATCCCCGCGGCGGGGTGCGCTCCCGTTGTTCGGTCCCAGCGCCTGCCAACCTAGCAGTTCGAGAGCACTCCCGGGTGCAAGTAGATAAATAGGGACCGCTTACTAGCAGGAAGGTAAACGGCGTTTCCGTGTGCGGCTCTGGCTCGCCAGAGCAGCGATGTCATGCTGGCCACGTGACCCGGAAGTGTCTCCGGACAGCGCTGGCCCCCGGCCTCTTGAGTGAGATGGGCGCACAACCCTAGAGTCTGTCAAGACTGGCCCATACGGGCAGGGGTACCTTTACCTTTTATACAAGGTATATGACCTTGCTAAGTTCTTTCTCAGAATGTTGCAGGCCTTGTGAGTATCAGCCCTGTCCTTAGCTTTTTGCATGCTCATATCTCACTATTTAGATCTATATCTACATCTGTCTTCTTAATGCACGCAGGGTGTTATATACTGAACTTCTCACCCTGGGCCAGCAGGGGGATACTGTAGATAGTTTTCACTCAGGTCCATATATGCAAATAAGGGATTGAAAGTGACGTTCAGTGATTGGGTAGTTACAGAAAGTGTTACAGTTGCATTGTAGTGGGGCTCTATATAAGCAGGCTGGCTGAACCCTTCAGTTCAGTTCTGTTCTGGCCTGTGAATAAACAAGAGCTGTTTGAAGAATCGCTGTATCATCTGATATGTTCACCCACAACCTAACACAGGGTTTGTGCATGCGGTGCTGGGTCCTGGGGGTCAAATTCAGCCCCTAGGACTCTCCCTAGGCTCTCCCCAGCATGGGTGCTTTTCCTGAGGGATGTGCCTTTGATGCCTCTTCCCTGCTTGGGTGGAGACTACTTGTTGGACAGACGTGTGTGTTTAAACCTCTGACTTATCCATCGCTCCACCCACTTTTGCCTTCATCAGCCTGATGAAAACTAACATCCTGGGTCAGCATTGGCGACCACACACTTGAGGTGGTAGGCAGTTTTGTCTGCCTGGGCTCCACCACAACCAACAATCTCTCCATCAACGCTGAGCTAGACAAGAGTATTGGCAAGGCAGCTACTGCAACGGTTCGCCTCTCCAAAAGGGTTTGGGAGAACGTGGTGCTAATGTCCAATACCAAGAGGAAGATCTACTGTTATGTATTAATATCAGTGGCAGTTCTCACTCAGGGCCACCAGTATGTAAATGAAGGATTGAAAACTGTCACTCCTGATTGGTTAACTAGTTGTGAGTTGTTACTGTTTCAAGTTACTTAGTATTATAAAGCAGCCAGCTAGGTTGCAGTCAGTCTGATTCCAGGAGCAGTTCTAACTGCTGCAATAAAGAGCTGTGAATCCAACAGAGCTGTGTCCTTCATCCATCTTTTCCACTATTCAACATCTACCAGGCTTGCGTGCTGTGCAGACTGCTTTGTGGAAGTGAGTTGCGGGCAACTTACAACCGCCAAAAGCAATGCCTCAACGCTTTCCACTTGAAGAAGAAGAAGAAGAGTTTGGATTTGATATCCCGCCTTTCACTCCCTTTAAGGAGTCTCAAAGCGGCTAACATTCTCCTTTCCCTTCCTCCCCCACAACAAACACTCTGTGAGGTGAGTGGGGCTGAGAGACTTCAAAGAAGTATGACTGGCCCAAGGTCACCCAGCAGCTGCATGTGGAGGAGCGGAGACTCGAACCTGGTTCTCCAGATTACAAGACTACCGCTCTTAACCACTACACTTGGACTGTGTCAGTAAGATTTGGGGCATTACATGGCAGGACAGAGTCTCAAAGAAAGATGGGTGATAACATTGAATTCAAAGAGGGTAGTGAGCTGGCATTATCTCCAAAAAATTCAATCCAGGGTCTTAAAGAGCCTGTGGTTGGAGTGAATAAAATACAGTAGGGCGTTGTGTAGGGCGAAGTTTCCATTTGTGCTGTCAGTTACACTGCTGATGTTTGCGTTGACCAGTTAATAAATGCTGCCTTATTTGCTTGCTTGAATGGGGTCTCTCGCCCCAGTGTTCTGCCAGGCACTATACAAATTCCTAAAAAGGATCCCAATGAAAGCATTTGTGTATGCTTCATTTTAAGATCTGGTGCAATCTGTGCACCGTGATGGAGGGCGTCTGACAGCGAGGAGAGCAGAAGGGTATCTCAATGCAGAACTTTCACTCCTAATTGTTGGAGAGGCTTTAAAAACCCTCCTCACCCCAAACCCAGGGGTCAGCAAACTTTTCCAGCAGGGGGCTGGTCCACTGTCCCTCAGACCTTGTGGGGGGGGCAGACTATATTTGTGTTTTTTTTGGGGGGGGGGTCACAAATATTTGCCCCACAAATAACCGAGAGATGCATTTTAAATAAAAGGACACATTCTACTCAGGTAAAAACACACTGATTCCCGGATCGTCCGCTGGCCAGATTTAGAAGGCAGTTGGGCCAGATTCAGCCCTGGCCTTTAGTTTGCCTACCCATGCCCTAAACTCTAGATTCCTCATACAAACAAAACAGCTTTGTTCATTCAAACTCCAGATTATTCATTATTCATACAGCTCTGCAAAATTCTAACAGCTAATTAACAGAACGATGATGGGCCCAGTAAGTTAGAGAGACAAAAGGCCTAAGAGGAAGGTGCTAATTTTAAGTGTCCTGCAAGGAATACTTTAAACTGCAATATGTCAACTGGTCATGGAAATGTGATTATAGCCTGAATGGCAAAAAAATAATGCCACTTTCCCAAAACATATGCTTTATAAATAAGGTGTTTGTGTGTAAGCAGGTACAGGACTCCTGCTCCGCGACACTTGACTGAGGTTGGCCACAGTTGCTTCTGGCTTTCCGAAGAGATTTGGCTGTGACTTTTGTGCGATTTCCCAGAACCCCTTGAAAAACCTGGGGAGAGCCTGAAACTCTTGCACTTGAATGCCTATACAAAAAGTGGCAAATCTTTTTGTACTCAGGAATAATGCATTAGAGTTGCAGAACAAGGAGGGGACCCAAATGATCATCCCTGCAATGTTGGAGTAGATTAAAATGGATCTGCCTCGAAAATGCAGAAAAGCACCACACTGAGCAAACAAGGTCTTGGAAAATCCAATGTATGGTCATTTATGGAGAATGTTACTGTGTTTTGACAGTGGGCTTCATTTTAATGCAATGTTCGTAAGCTAGGGTCAGGGGTGGTGTCTGTTAAACTTCAGCAAGTGCAAAGCTTTCCTTTGCCTGGTACCAGCAGCTGCAGTGTTTACATTCTAGTGCAGATATGGAGAAATGGTATCACAAGAAGTACCAACAGTGGAGGAATGGCAGATGAAGATGATGGACTTTAGGGAGCTAGCCGACCTGACCGGAAGAGTCCGCGACCAGAAGGAGGAGAAGTACCAGGAGGAATGGATGAAATTTAAAGACTACTTAGCTAAATATGCTAAGATAACTTAAATAGAAACACTTGCAAGTACCAGATTGGTTTAGGATTTAAATATGTGAAGTTATAGAATAATATATCTAAAGTTAAAATGAAAAGAAAGAAAAATGTTAATTGATTAAGTAAATTTTATGAGAAATTAGTTTTGGAAAACTGTTACAATGATATACATAGAAACTCAGCCAGGGGAATTCGAGGAAGTCACCTAACAATGTTAACAAATAGTTAGGATTTATGTTTGTTTGTTTTTGATGTTTGTTATAAATTTGGAAAATCAATAAAAAAATTTGGGGGGGGGGGAAGATATGGAGAAATGGTGATCCAGAACTTCAGCCCCCATCAGCTCTAGCTAGCATGGCCAATGGTCACTTGGGATGGGAGTTGTAGTCTAAAAGCCTCTGGAAGGCTACAGTTTCCCCATAATCTGATCTGGCTGGTATAAGGCAGCTTCTTACGCTTCACTTGCCCTGGTAGAATAGAAGAAACTGCTTGAAGATTTCCAGTGCTTCAAGCCGAAGGGATGCCAGAGATATATGACTTTGCAGAGGCTTGCAAGGAGGAGTGCTGATGGTCTGGTCCTTGAGGGATGTGCTGTTTGCTTTGGGGAGCTGATGTTGTTTTAAATTCCTGCATGGTCTGCATGCTTGCCTGCTCCCACAAGCTGGATTGGTATGTTTCTAAAACTGGTAAGAGCGAAAAGTTCCGTAAGACTTTGGTGTGCTCTCCTCACAAGGAAATGGATTCTGCGGCAGTTGCCTCTGGAACTTCCTGGGCAAGTGCACAATTCTTAGTGCACAGGTCGCTTTCTTTCAAACCAAAGATCTACTCAGATGATACTGATTGATAACCTTGTGCAGGACTTTTTGAGGTTGTTGTTGCTGGATGATGAAGATGTTTGTAACAATAGCATTCTTTGTTTTTGGAGGCTTGTGATGTAAAGGTAACAGTCATCTTCCACTGTCTTAACTAGGAATGGAGGAGAAATTTGATTCTAAAGGGAACTAAGCTAGTTTGTACTCCCTGAAGCAAAATATAAATCAAAACATTGCTGCCCTTTGTACTCCTCCAAAATTTGTGACACAGTTTTCCAACCAAATGTGCATATGTTTCAGAGGGGGTTGTGTCTGTCTGTATACATATGTGTGTGTGTGTGTGTGTGTGTGAAAATAATTTACCAAATGCATTATATTAAGGAAAATTGATTGTGCACATTACTCAAAACTACATACTGAACTGCATGTATTTGAAGAAATTCACTCTAAAAGCTGACAAATCTTCATGAATATTTTGGTATTTTTAAAAATCTCTTTGCTGCAGAAATATGGAGAATTTAATTTAAGACTGAGAAAATAAAAAAAACTTTGAGAACCGAAATTGTTAAATTTCATCCATTGCTAGTCATAACTGGCATATTCTGCAGTCTTTCTTAAATGTTTGTTAACATTATTGTACTGGTTGCCCTAATGACTTTTTCCTCTCCTGTTTCCACAGAGGGAGTGTTGATCAGAATGAATGGCCATATTTCAAACACCCACCCAAGTGCATATGGAAGTTACTCTTCTCAAGTAAAGTAAGTATTATCCCACCAACATGACCTGTCCCTGCCACCCAAGTTCATCGAAAATAAAGTAAAAGGAAGAAGAAGCCCTAAGGTCTCCTCTGAGACTTAACATTTCATTTTCAGCCTGGAAGCTATTGTCATTTCAGACATAAGATCAATTTCATATGAGCTTGGATATAATGAGGGTACCAGCCTGCAGAGGCATGAATACCTTCTTCACATCAGACCTCAATAATGTGAATCTCAATAAGTGTTTTTGTTGCTTCTTGTGTATCCCAGACTTAGATGCAACAAAATCTCTAGGGTCCTTGCCATGCTAGAAACTCAGATATGCAAGCTAGGTGCTGAATGGCTTCTTAATCCAGGGTTACAGTAGCCCAAACAGAATGCCTAGTTGCCATTTTGGGGCCAGACAGCTCAAAACTTGAATTTTTCAATATGAGTTTTTGGTTCCTGAAATTCATTCTGATCGTGCAGCTAAAATATAACGTATAGAATTATCTAGGATGTGTTGCTGGTGTGTGAAAACAGTCAAGATCCAGGGATCCCCAGGCATGCACCTCCAGATCATGGTGGCATCAGGGACCATCCTTGCACCCGGGCATCTTCACTTGGTCACAAGTGGCCGATAGCCAGGTCCAAATTGTGCCTGGCGCCTAGAGAATTTTGAAGGCTGGGTCCTTGTACAATTGTTCCTAGGTGAAGCTCGTAGAGAACTGTACCTATCCCAGTCATAAGAACATAAGAAGAGCCTGCAGGACAGGCCAATGGCTGATCTAATCCAGTATCCAATTCTCTCAGTGGTCCCTCAGATGCTTGTAGGAAATTCTCAAGCAGGGCCTTAGCACAACAACACTCTCCCCGGCTGCAGTTTCCAGTATCTGGTGGTCAGAAGCATCGTCGCCTCCATCTATGGAGGCAGAACCCAGTTGTCATATAGTTGTTGTTGTTGTTGTTTAGTCGTTTAGTCGTGTCCGACTCTTCGTGACCCCATGGACCAGAGCACGCCAGGCACTCCTGTCTTCCACTGCCTCCCACAAACTCATGCTGGTAGCTTCGAGAACACTGTCCAACCATCTTGTCCTCTGTCGTCCCCTTCTCCTTGTGCCCTCCATCTTTCCCAACATCAGGGTCTTTTCCAGGGAGTCTTCTCTTCTCATGAGGTGGCCAAAGTACTGGAGCCTCAGCTTCACGGTCTGTCCTTCCAGTGAGCACTCAGGGCTGATTTCCTTCAGAATGGATACATTTGATCTTCTTGCAGTCCATGGGACTCTCAAGAGTCTCCTCCAGCACCATAATTCAAAAGCATCAATTCTTCAGTCATATAGTTAGTAGCCACCAATAGCCTACCCTTCCACAAATTTGTCTAATCCTCTTTGAAAGCCATCCAGGTTGGTGGCCATCACTGCCTCTTGTGGGAGTGAGTTCCATTGTCTAATTGTGCAGCGTGTAAAGAAGTACTTTCTTTTTTCTATCCTAAATCTTCCAGCATGGAGCTTCATTGGATGCCCTCGAGTTCTAGTTTTGGAGGGGGGGGAAGCTTTACTCTCTCCATGCCGTGTGTAATCTTATAAGCTTCTGTCATGCCATATCCATGCCTTGTGCAGGAGCATTTACAGTCAACAAACTGCACCCATCGCCCAGCTCCGCCAAGGTTAATTTGTTGGTATGTGTGTCAACATTTTGGCTGCAGACTTCAATGTTGATGGTAAATAGAACCATAGCAGTCAGCTTCAATTGTCTCTGAAGCCGTCGCTTGAATTCCTTCTGGGATCCCAATAAATCTTTGGTCGTGCATCAAGACTTCTGTGGGTGAACTCAATTTTCCTGGGATTTTTTAGTTTTATTTTCCTGATAGCTCATTGCTTTGTCTTGGAAGCTGTTCCCGAAGTTATCCCAAGATTTCAGAGAGATTTGAACCTGTCAGGCTGTGGAGGTCCAGTGGCATCCTCAAGAATCACCTCTCAATCTTTAGGATCCAGTCTTTTGACTTGAGAGGATCGGGGTTGCTTCTCCTACTTCACAGATGTCCTGTCGTGAAGAGTCTTTGTGGAGAGGCAGTTAAAGACTCTGAGAGGGCAAAGACTGGTGGTTAGGATAGCTGTTGAAGAGGGGAGTCGATAACAGGGGACATTATAGATCAAGGATGAGGAATCTTTGGTGGCTGGGGAAACCCAGTCAGATGGGCGGGGTATAAATTATTGAGACATCACCTTGCCCACAAAGGTTCGTATAGTTAAAGCTATGGTTTTCCCAGTAGTGATGTATGGAAGTGAGAGCTGGACCATAAAGAAGGCTGATCGCTGAAGAATTGATGCTTTTGAATTATGGTGCTGGAGGAGACTCATGAGAGTCCCATGGACTGCAAGAAGATCAAACCTATCCATTCTTAAGGAAATCAGCCCTGAGTGCTCACTGGAAGGACAGATCGTGAAGCTGAGGCTCCAATACTTTGGCCACCTCATGAGAAGAGAAGACTCCCTGGAAAAGACCCTGATGTTGGGAAAGATGGAGGGCACAAGGAGAAGGGGACGACAAAGGACGAGATGGTTGGACAGTGTTCTCAAAGCTACCAGCATGAGTTTGACCAAACTGCGGGAGGCAGTGGAAGACAGGAGTGCCTGGCGTGCGCTGGTCCTTGGGATCACGAAGAGTCGGACACGACTAAACGACTAAACAACAACATTATTATTATTAGTCTTTTGGATGTTGTTGGACTCCCATCAGCCCCCAATGGTCAGAGGTGCTGGGAGTTGTAGTCCAGTGAAATCCGTAGGGCCACAGCCACCCCACCCCAGTTATAGATAGAGCCAATTTTTTGACTCTACAGAAGCTCTATGCACTCATTATTTGGGGATATAGGAAGCTGCTTGGTTCATATACCTCAGTTGTCATGGACTGACTGGACACAGAGGAATGGTGGGAGGTATCAGCTGGGGAACCCTCAAGGAACAAAGGATCAGAGCCCAGGAATTGGTGGTGGAACAATGATGAGTGGACAGAGGGAGAAGAGGGAGAAGCCTGGGAGGAGAAGTCCAGAAGCAGAAACTGAAACAGGGGAGGATGGAGTCCAAGAAGTAGAGATGAGTCAGGCTGGTGAAGAAGCTCAGGTGTCTCTCTCTCCTGCTGTGACCAGCTCCCCTCCCCCTGTCTCCAGAACCAGAAGAGGTATGAAGAGGGAGGAGCAAAGTCAGGCAGGGCGCCCGAGTCTCAGATTGCTTGGGAAGGACCAGGCGAGGAGGAGATTTAGGCAGTTGTGAGAAGGTTGTGAGGACCTTCAGCCTCCATGGGGCAAGACCTACTGAGAAGAGCTTCAATGCTCATCAGGCCTGGTACTCCTGAGCAGACTTTGTTTCTGCTAATAGTTAGCTTCACGTGTGATTTGTTGCTGACCCCGCTTCTGACAGCGGTATTGTCCACACTGACCGATAGTGGCTTACCAGGGTTTTAGATCTGGAGTATTCCCAGTCCTACATGGAGCTGATGGGGACTGAACCTTGGATTTTCCATATCCAGTGCATGCATTCTGCTACCATCAAGCCGCTAAGTTGGTCAGGACTAGCATAAATAGTAGGATCCTGGGCATCTACCTTCACTTCATTATCAGGAGAGTGGTACGGGCTGGTCTTCAGTTTCTCTGCCTTCAGCCCTAACCTTCTACCTCTGTGTTGTAGCAACTGGTCTCTGAGTTAGACGACACACCCTCCAGGCCCAGGCTCAGGTATGGCTGCTTCCAGCCCCACCCTTACTTTAACGAAGGTCACTCTTCAGACTTCTAAATTTAACTGATCTCTATTAGGGCCAGAAAACAAATTTCCCTTTGAAAACAGCTGTCCTATTGGTTTATGTACAACTGAATGGGTAGCAGCTGATAGTGCTATGTGCTGTTGATTGCCAGGGGCAACCTTTCTACCCTTGGAAAGCTACCAATGGGATTTCCTCCTCATCTAGAAGGAGATTCTGTGATTTGTGGTAATCTAAATAGATTTATAAATAGATCAGATGTTGTTTGCTCAAGCCAAAGCCATGCATAATTTATGTCTTTGGTGTTTTTTTAGAAAAAGCAAGGGGTGAAAGTTGTCTCTTAAATGACTCCGCAGTCTTAGGTTGCAATTCTGGTTTTGAGCTAGGATGTGTGTCTGTTTGTGTGCATGCGCTAGCAAAGTTATGCGCATGCAAATATATATTCGCACATGCTGTATTCTTCACGCACGCGCACACATTGTAACGAGCATTAGCTGTAAACAATAAAATTTGATTCACACACAAGCTGTGCTCTCAAAATATGCACACACAAATAGTCACACAAATACAAGGGGAGAGCCTTAGATAGTCCAGTCATAAGGCAAACTTGCAAGCTGCTTACAAGCACGTTTATTCAAATAAATGATGCTTGGCCTTGGCTGGAATAAGTAACATCAGAACTATTTATAAATGTATTTAGCCGACTGCAAACCATAGGCTTTACTAAATTGGGATCACGGGTTGGAAATCCCACGAGAAGCTTTCCAAATCTGGGAGCATGCTGCTGGAAATTGACAGTGTAAATAACTGTGAACGTGAATTTCCAGAAATCCATAGCACCATGCAAAACATTCTGTAGCCTCCGTATGTGTGCTTGTTTGCTTGCTTTCTGATATTGATATGTTAGACCCAATACACAGGCAACCTGTGTCAAAGGTGACATTGTGAATTCCTGCTTCTACATGTAAACCAAAAACTAAGGAATGGCATGACTTTCCTTCCATGTGTCCTAAGGGGGCTTGAGTTTCCCAAATAGTAGCTGGTCTCTCCCCCCCCCCCACATTATATTGCAAATTGCTTTTGGAACACAGGGGACCGTCAAAAGCAGTCTGCGGCACGGTTTGCCTGACCATTCGAAGGAGAAGAGTCACAAATTCCAATAGGCCGACAGAAGTCTTTGGACGTGCTTTCTAGATCCTGGTCATCTCCAGACACCCTTGTCACTTCTCATTTAGTAGTCAAGATTAAATTCTTCTCTTCACCCCCACTCATCCTGCTCCCAGTAGTTCTTGCTCACCTTTGTAACCATTTTGAAGATGGGAAAATCCTTTGCAGGCACTGTAATTCTGCAATACAGAACTTAATTCGTTCTGGAGGTCCATTCTTAACCTGAAACTGTTCTTAACCTGAGGTACCACTTTAGCTAATGGGGCCTCCCACTGCTGCCGTGCTGCTGGAGCACGATTTCTGTTCTAATGCTGAAGCAAAGTTCTTAACTCGAGGTACTATTTACGGGTTAGCGGAGTCTGTAACCTGAAGCGTCTGTAACCCGAGAGCCAGTGTGATGTAGTAGCTGCCAGCCAGGATGGCTGTGGTCTCCCTCTACTGGGGGGGGGGGATGCAGGATGCCTCTGAATACCAGTGGCTGGGAATTGAAGGTGGAGAGAGTGCTGACGCTCAGGTCCTGCCTTCAGGCTCCCCATAATACCTGATTAGCCACTGTGAGAACAGGATGCTGGACTAGTTGAGATGTTGACCTGGTGTAGCAGGGCTCTTCTTATGATTGCTGGGCAATGACCAGGACCACATCTCCACTCAGCCATGGTCTAGTCAACCTTGGGCTAGTCAGCGTCAGCACAAAAATAATAATTATTGTTATTATTATCAATACCCCGCCGATCTGGTTGGGTTGCCCCAGCCACTCTGGGCAGCTTCCAACATACATAAAAATAATAATAAAACACGGGGACAAATAGAAGAAGACGCCTTCACCCCGGTATCACATACACAGCCCAACAAGACAATGACAATAATCCACCGACAGCACACAAATCAATATGGTTAACCTGATCCAAAACACCCACCCATCCCACTCACACACGAAAACAAAGATCACCACAGCCAATCACAAACAAACAACCACACCCTAGGCCAACCCCAACCTCTCTCACCACCAAAGGAACACAAGTGAATAGCACAGAACCTGCACAGGCGACGCTGACACAAACCCCCACATATATTAAGTATAATAGAAACATCGCCACCCAACCCCACCCCACCCCTTTCCCCTTCTTCTTCCTAATGTCTCAACAAATGAAATTGATCTGTAAAAAGTGTTACTTGGAGGGGGGGGAAGAGTTTTGTAAACTAAGAAAATCTTTAATAAAAATACATTAAATAATAATAATAATAATAATAATAATAATAATAATACATCAAACACTAATAGTAAGAATCAGATCCTGTATAAAAAGTCACAGTAACTTGTAACCTACCTCACAGGGTTGTTGTGAGGATAAGGGGGTTGCAAAGTTGAGCTCCCTAGAGGACAAGCAGGATATAAATATCGGGCGACATTGTGGCTCAAGCAAAGCAGTGGCAAAACAGGTGATTGTGCAGAGAACGACTTGTATGAGACATTTCTGTTATCTGTGACCAGCAAAATGATACCAGTGTGCTTACTATAACAGGTGTGCATTTATTTCATTGATTTCCTCCCTGCACAAGGACACCCCACCATGCTGGCTTTCAAAATAGCCGCACAGAATCACTTGATACAACCACTTCAGCTGAAACACAGCCAAATGCACACTGGCATGTATGAAATAACAAGTAATCACCACATGGGCTTTTAAAATCCTCCTTTTGTTGTTGTTTAATGGGGTTACTGAACCTTTGGAATTTCTGGATGGCATTATCTTGCTTGTTGTTGTTTTGAAGTTAACATTTTTTTGTAATTTTATTGGTTGTTTTGTATTTTATACATTTATTGATGAACCATTCATTGATTTTTGAAGAAAGGGCGGTATCTAAATAAAAACAATGGATGAAAGAATATAGATTCAGAGAGCGGGGGATTTGAATGGATGACAGGGAGGCTGTAGGTGTTATACATATAGCTCCACATAAAATAAGTGCTTTGCATAAGTTATTTTTCTTTAGCTAGCCACTTGGGGAATAGAGAAAGCACTGCTGTGCAGGGCAATAAATCTCCACCTCTTAGAAATCTATTTTCTGAAGTGTCAGTAGGCATCCTGGTTTCCTTTCAATCACATCTGCAGTCAATATGGTCTTGAAATATGGAAGCCAGGAGTTTTCAAGTTCCTGCGCTCAGCGCAAACATTATCTCTGTATGCATATTAGCTTTATAAGGTATGTCAGCTGACCTTTTGCCAAAGGAAACCACACACAAACAATGCACCTTCTCTTGCAGTGGATATGGATCACCAACATTTTCTCAGAGCGAGAGGGACCAGGCGTCGAAGACGAGTGCGAAAGCTTTGTACGGTAAGGCTCATTGGCTTTGTGTATGTGATAAGGCCACCGTTATGAATTCCTTATTAAGCTTGGTGGAAGGTGTCTATAGCAGAGAATATTTAAAGCCCCTCTCCTTTGCTTGGTAGGCAATCTGTGCTGTTATCTGCCCATCTGCTTCGAAAGTGGAAATGCTAGCGTCATCCTGGGGGTGAAGCCTGTGATGGAGACTCCAGAGGGCTTAGGAGTTATCCAGACTTTTGCTTCAGCCATAGAATGAATTCGGGCAGTTCTGGTTTCACTTTAGTCTTTTGCTCTGTGCCTTCATGTGCATCTGGAGCTCGGGAATGCTGAAACACATTAGGAGATCAAGGGACGCCCTGTGCCCAGGAGTCTTCAGAAATCCAGGTTTTGGGGTTGTCCCACAGTCTGTGTGGGTGGTGTTGCATTCACGAGACTTGAGGATTCATGGGCATCTCATACAAGATGGCTGAATGGGGCCATCCTTGGAAGATCATGCATGTGTCCTGGCAAAAAAGAACAACACCAACCCACTTCTCCAATGAGTGTTTGCAGACATTGCTTCTTAAGGGGCACGCCTGGTAACCCTCACAGCCCCCAAGAGAGAGCTCCTAAGCTGTGGTACACACACACACACACACACACACACACACACACACACACACTTTGTAATGAGCATGAGCTGTAATGTGCATTTTTCACCTTCCTTATACAGCTTCTAGCAAATGCTGAAAGCACACCTCTGGGTTTAGGTGCTGGAGATGTATCTTTTAAGGACCCACCTTATTTTTGTACTTGTTTTAAACTGTTTTTGAATATTGTGTTTTAATGATGCAACCCAGCCTGGGACCTTAGGGTGAAGGGCGGGTGTTTAATATTAGTAGTAGTAGTAGTAGCAGTAATAAAAAAAATCCTTCCCTCATGATCTTGAAGCCCCCCTTCTTCCATGAATTGTGAGAATGGGGTGTTACAGGATTACCAAGCAAAGCCTTGATTTTTGCAATGCCTTGACAATGGGCATTTGGATGGCCCTGCCCTTATGTCCTCACATGGACTAGGGCTGGGTGATATCTGGTTCTCAACACTGTGATATGCAGTCAAACCTCAGTTCTCGAACGGCTCCATTTTTGAATGTTTCAGCTCCCAAATGCAGAAAACTTGGAAGTAACTGCTCCGGTTTTCGAACAATTTTCAGAAGCCAAATGTGTTTTGAGTTTCCCTATTGTTCTGAGGCTTGCGCTTTCAGTTTTCAGTTGTTTAACGTTTCGGAAGTCGAATGGGCTTCTGGATGGATTGTATTCGACAACAGAGGTTTGACTGTATCACCAGCTGAACATCGAGATATACCAGTACAGCCTCAATACAACTGAGCAGTTAACTTCCGGGTTTTCGGCGTTCGGGAGCCGAAACATTAGAAAAGAGAGCCGTTTGAGAACTGAGGTTTGACTGTATATCACAATGTCTGAAGTTAGGATGGAGCTATGTAGAGGCGCTAGGACTTGCCAATCAGAAGGTCGGCCATTTGAATCCCCTTGATGGGGTGAGCTCCCGTCGCTCGGTCCCTGCTCCTGCCAACCTAGCAGTTTGAAAGCATGTCAAAGTACAAGTAGATAAATAGGTACTGCTCCGGCGGGAAGGTAAATGGTGTTTCCGTGCACTGCTCTGGTTCGCCAGAAGCGGCTTAGTCATGCTGGCCACATGACCCGGAAGCTGTACGCCGGCTCCCTTGACCAATAAAGCGAGATGAGTGCCACAACCCCAGAGTCGGCCACGACTGGACCTAATGGTCAGGGGTCCCTTTACCTTTACCTATGTAGAGGCATTGGCTGGCTTCATGATTTTCCCCACATGGTGATTTTTACATAGCATGGGCACACACACATCATGATTTGCGATATAGTGCCAGGTCAAAAAATGATGAAGCAGGTATCGCGATATGGACTTTATAATAAGCCAGTTATTATAAGCCAGTTTTGGACGATGTATCTCCCAGCCCTCATGTGAGAGATCCTGCAAACGAGCTTCTGGTCTCACCCAGACATTTGTGCTATCTGATTCCTGTCCTGACTGTGGGTTCCATTTTCATGGAAGTCCGATCATGCACATGTGTTGACTTTCTTAAGGCATGGATCCATGGGCAGGGCCACTGCAGTGCATGATACAGAGGCAGCTGCATAACCATTCCCCCATCTGTAGCTTCTGTGCACAGGGAAGGAGCGAGAAGGGTTTGTAATGTGTGTTTGTGTCTATGTCTCCTGCCTGAGAAGCTGCCAATTTTCTCTCTTAACAGTTGGTTCTCCGGGGAACTGATTAACAGCAGCAGCGTATGCGGAAAGCGGTTTCTTTAAAATGAAAAGACGTGCTGTTATGCGCATTTGAGAACCGAGTATGAGGCTATACAGTGGAAGCAGACATCCGATTAAATTCTGCTTGGGTCTTAATGCAGGCAATATTCTAATTTAGCAGACTTCTTTTTTCAAAAATAAAAATGTTTTGCAGCCTCTATGATTATGTTTAAAATGTACATCCCACTTTATCTAGAGCTCAAGAAGGCTTATAACGACAAAAGCATACGAAATCTAAAACATAAATTAAACCTACTTTGAACAGAAATCTCAGAAATTTAAATGAGAACATAATAAAAAAATGAAAATGTCAGGGAGGCATTTGTGACTCGAAGGCATCCTGAAATTATTTTAACCAGGTGCCTGAAACTCAGCAGTGACAGATCCTGTCTGAATTCTAGTGGAGAGGAGTTCCACAGATTTCAGCCCGTGACACTGAAAGTACAACCTCTGGTCTGTGGGGGACCACTAATAATGCTCCCCTGGGTGTTGCTGTTGTTAATTGAATTTGTATCCCGCCCTTCATCTGAAGATCCCAGAGCGATGCGATACACAACAGAAAAATACACAATGATCACCGGGAGCGATCTCAGTGATTGACCTTGGATATGCCATCTCTCCCGGGCCTAAGTCGTTCAGGGCTTTGTATACCTTTGAACCTGGCCCTGGTACATACCGTAAGTCACATAGGGGAGAATAATGTTTTGGCTTCCTCATGGAAACAAAGGGACATACACTTTGGCAAAAGGAAGGCCAGAAAATAATGATTTGAAAGCAAAAATAATGTGAGGATCACATTGCTAGAGACACAAGACCAACAGCAGAGAGCCAAAAGAGGAAAAGGAGATTGTGGAGATGGTGAATCGATTCTCTGCTTCTGCCTTCCTTGTGGAAGGGCAGATCTTGGTACCTGAGCTAACTTTCTCAGGAAGGAAGCTGGGAGCTGAGGCAAATAGCTGTGATCTCTTATGACGTTCTAGGCCATATTAAAGAAGTAAAAAAAAAAAACTTTAGGGAGGGATAGGGGGAAAATTGGAAGTGGGAACCCCCCATATAATGTGGCCACAGAATGCTGTCACTGTGGGGCGGGGGAGAGACAGAGGAGCGAATGGAAGGTCTGGAATCCTCTTCTCCTCACACTGCAACATTTTGTTGCAGTCCCCACCAGATGCATTTTGTTGCTAAATGAAAACAGAAGATCCTCTGGGATAGAAATAAAGTTAAATAATGTGCACAGGTTCATTTCTGTGCAGTGTGTGAACTGATCCTTTTAAAAAATCTCCTGTGTGTGTGTATTTCTTTCTGTCAGGTGGCATTTTTCTTCTCCTCGCCGCCTCCCTTTAGCGTTGTGCAGCATCCCATTTTTTAGTGAAATCCCATCAGTGAGCACTATTGCCCTGTCACCTTCCTGAATGGAAATCATTAATCGGTGTTGGATTGATCTAGATTTTACTACTTTTTTTAAAATCCCCATATTTTGTCAGGGGCAGATGGATTTTATTTCTTCAGATCCTCATCCAAGCAGAAAACCAAGAAAGGTAGCGAATGATAAAAGAGTTGGCTTGCTGTGTGTGTGTTCACGCATGTTTTTAAAAAAATGAAGTTTTTTTTCCCTCAAAAGAAATGCTGCAAAAGCAAAAAAAGATATTGTCAACATTTTGAAACGATCAAAGGATTCTTGCAGCGGTTCTTTGAAATAATGAACTCATTAGCATTGGAGCAGATGATTGGGAATTTCTGTAGTGTGCTTTTGAGCCTGTTCCTCAGTGTTTTCCCCCCTTTGTGACTTGCATGATGTGTTGGCATTTTACTGTCTCCCCCCCCCTTTTCATTCCATACTAATACCTTCCTTAGTCAAATTATTTACATGAAAAAGAAGAAGAAGAGTTTGGATTTGATATCCCGCCTTTCACTCCCTTTAAGGAGTCTCAAAGCGGCTAACATTCTCCTTTCCCTTCCTCCCCCACAACAAACACTCTGTGAGGTGAGTGGGGCTGAGAGACTCCAAAGAAGTGTGACTGGCCCAAGGTCACCCAGCAGCTGCATGTGGAGGAGCGGAGATGCAAACCCGGTTCCCCAGATTACGAGACTACCGCTCTTAACCACTACACCACACTGGCTCTCTTTTTCTCTCCACGCTCCACATTTGCTCACCTGTAAAAATGATGGTTGTGTTCACAGAATCACAGAACTGGAGAGGTGGAAGGGAACACAAGGATCATCTACTCCAACCCTCTGCAATGCAGGAAGCACAGCTAAAGAATCCCTGACAGATGGCCATCGAACCCCTGTTTAATAACTTCTAATGACAGAGAATCCAACACCATCCATTCCGCAGTTGAATAGTTCTTACCATCACAAAGTTGTTCCTAACGTTTAGTTGGGGTCTCCCTTATTTTCTTTTTTAAAATATATTTTTATTAAAGATTTCTTAGTTCCATTGGTTCAGATCCAACCCTCTGAGGGGCAGAATTATCTTCCATCTCTTCTGCTCCTCTAGTTTCTGCAATAGGGGTTAGTTTGCGTTTTAATGAGAAACCACCTAATTTATGCTTCTCGAACCAATACGCGAACTGAAACGCAGCTATCCTTTGAAGGGTGCTCTTCTTCTCCAAACACATTGTATTAGAGGAAAATGTGTGTGTGTGTATTGTGTATGCTAGTGACAAATGACACTGCAACGAATGAGATTTGAAAGTCATCCCAACAGTGAAGAAAGGGAAAAATTAGCTCCACCCACTAAAATGGTTGCTTTCCAATTCTGGAATGGAAGGCAAATGCAACGATGGTTTGCCAGTTCTGATATCATGGCAAATTATGTTCACCACTTGGCAAGAAATGGAGAGGGCACAGGTATGTGTGGAGAAGAATTGGTAATTGGCAAGAGTGAAGGAGGTTGTGTTAGCAGGTGTGGGCTGAGTGTGTGTGTAATTTGTGTGGGAATTGAGTGTGTGGAAGTGTATTGAATGAGTGGAGTGGATTTTCTGGTTTTTGATATTTCATCTCTTTTCTTCTGTGTTGTGTTACAATCCTTTATAATGAAAAGTGGTACATTAACACTTTAGACAATATAATGCTTTTTAAATTAGAAAAATTAACTCAGTTGTGCATAATGATGCCATCTCATCCAAAATTAATAATTGGCACCCATGTAACCATTCCTTAAACTCATCCCTAGCTCTCTATTCATTTAATCTGATCAATATTGCCTAAATCAAAGTTGTTTTTATGTAATTATCATTAGCGTTCACAGACCTCCGTGCTGTGTGATCTGGAAAATTGTTTGGACTGAAACCATGTCTATTGACCAGTTTCTTTAAAAAATATGAGCAGAGAGACCCAGAAGTGTCACATAGTTGTTCCACTCTTGGGGTTTGCAGTGTTCTGACTTCTACTCACTTTCCTATATTGAAGAGAATTGCAGTCCTTGCTGTGCTTTGAATCAACCCTCCTCCTTCACCTTCTGGTGTTTAACACATTGTATGTAAGCAAAGTAGATGGAGATGTATTTGAAGGCTAGTAATCTCAGGATAAATGGCACTTTAAACATACCCTGTGCAAAGAGTAAGCTGGAATGTGAAAATGAAGATGGTAAATCATCTCTCTCTCTCTCTCTCTCTCTCTCTCTCTCTCTCTCTCTCTTATTTTTTTTAAAAAAACAGAGCAAAGGAAGAATTATGCCCGCGATAGTGCCAGCAGCATATCTGAGACATCGCAGTACCACGTGGAGGTAAGAATTCTACAGATTTATTTGTATTATTTCATTTACAATATTTATTAACCTAATTTTCACTTGCGGGATTTGATGGAAATAGCTGCTGCAATGCTGGACAAGCCTGAAGATTAACCGCCAGACTTAAATTACTTGTACATTTACATGCCTCCCTAACATAAATACAGACTGTGCTGTTTAATGGAAGGATTGCTCAAACTTGGACTAGGGGAGGTCAGGGTTGAAGGCACTGATTAACCACAACCCGGCTGCAAGGACGGAAAAAGTGAGAAGAATTCTGTGCGCCAACCTGAACTCTTGAGGGAGAAAAGTTAAACAAGCGTTGCTGTTGGTTGCTTTTGTTTTACTAACTTGCAGCCTGCCTCCCGTCTGTTTTAGAGAGACTAGTAAGAAAAGGGAAGAAGAATCAAATTGTTGATTGATTGATTTGTGAGCAGAAACAACCTTAAACTGGACACTTAAGACCTAAGGACCATTCGCCCTTGTAGAGCTCACAACAGCCATATCACCCTTCTAAGCCGCTGATAAAGCCTTGCTTCAGGCGCCTCTTCAGTTGGTGGTTAAGGTCATGGTGACGTGAGCAAGGCTTTCTCTGTGGTGATGCCACAGTTAGGAAACTCGCTCCCTTTGTTTAAATTAATGCTTGAAGTATGCCACATTTTGTAGAACCCATTGTGTTTTCTGATCAGTTTCATCCAACGTAATGTTTTTTAACCTTGCAGTTCTTCTGTAACGAATGGGGCGTAGGTTGGGCTGGAAGCTGCCTGCAGCTCCATTCAAAAACATTCATTAAGACAGAAATAAGCCTTGTTGCATTTAGCACCTCAGATGTTGTCCTCTGCAAGAGCTTCGAAAGAAAGAGCTGGAGCAAGTGAACAGGGGTGGCTTTGGAAAACCCTGATTTAGTGCTCTGTGCGAACACAGAGCTAGGATTCTCAGAGTCTTTTTAATGAGGCTGCCATCCTGTCGATGATTCCGAGTTAACCCCTTAGCTTAACTCTAAGGCTCTGGTGCATGCCTTTGGTCAAGGAAGTAAGCGGAGAGGCTCATGAGTGTGTGGAAAGCCAAGCAGAGGTGCAGCGGAAAATGAATTAAGTTCTTCTTTGCTCACCTTGGGCTGAGTGGCTGCACAGATAGTAATGAGGACATTGTAAATGTTACTTCCCACACACTTCAAATTAAACCTCAGTGAGTTTCCAGGCATACTCCAAAGAGCAGGTTTTGACCTTTAAAACTCTGAAAAGCCTGTGCCCTGATTGTTTGGAGGAACGCTACCTCTCTTTCCTCTTCTGCCCTCCAACAGAGGCAATGGAGGAGGCCCTGTTGAGGGTGGCTCCATGGTCTGGGAAATAGATGCATGGAACCAGGTCCAGGGCCTTTTCAGCTGTGGCTCCTGATCTATAGGATACCCTCCCAAAGGAGGCTTTCCTGGCCACCTTAGCCCTTGATTCTAGGAGGGCTTACTAATTTTAGACGGCTTCTATGGTTATAGTCATTCATCATGTATTGAACCTGCTTTCAGTTGTTCTACTAAACAGTTTGTTGATACACATAAGTTGTTCAGCTCCAGATGCTAGCTGCAAACCTGTTTTTTCCCCTACACTTGGCTTTTTAAATGTAGACACTGTATTAAAAAGCCCAGCAGAAACAGGTACACACAAACGAGCTCAAGGTGACTTAGATGGTTCTCGCCCTCTCCATATTATCCTCAAAATAACCCTGTGAAGTAGGTTGGACTGAGAGTTGGTGAATGGCTCAAGTTTAGAAGAAGAGTTTGGATTTGATATCCCGCCTTTCACTCCCCTTCAGGAGTCTCAAAGCGGCTAACAATCTCCTTTCCCTTCCTCCCCCACAACAAACACTCTGTGAGGTGAGTGGGGCTGAGAGACTTCAAAGAAGTGTGACTGGCCCAAGGTCACCCAGCAGCTGCATGTGGAGGAGCGGGGACGCGAACCCAGTTCACCAGATTACAAGTCTACCCCTCTTAACCACTACACCACACTGACTCTACCCACCGAGCATCATGGCCTGGTCTCCCATGTCCTAGTGCAGCACCCTAACCACTGTGCCACACTGCCTGTTTAGCTGGCACCTACATTGCAGATCTTAGGAAATTGTCTGTCTGATACAGTATTTTGTTCTAACGTATTCCTGTTTTCCTTATCTGCTGTTGCAACCTGCCCCGGGCCCTTAGGGCAAAGGGCGGGTTACATTTTTGTTTTTTAAAGTAAAACAAAAACGCTATTTGTTTGTGTGTGTATCTGCCCCCCCCCCAAATCTAGGTAACCTAGGAACGAGAGATAAATATCCTAACTCAATAGCCAATAGATGCATCTCCATATGGAGTGACAAACTGGATATGCAAAGACATAAAGATGAAATAGCATGTGCAGTTGCACAAAACAAATATTTTCCAAAGCTCGTGTCTGCAGCCAGGCACATTTAAACTCATCAGTCATCTTCAGTAACAGAGAGATGAGTAGAAGCAATTGTAAACAAGAAGCAATTGTTGTTTAAAAGAAAGAAATGCTCTAAATTGCGCATGTAAGCCATTTCAGAAACACCATTGTGGTTGTCAGTGAAAAGGGGTTTTAAAAGAAGACCTCTGCCCTGAATGTTCCCCTAGCCCATGGGTCGGCAAACTAAAGCCTGGGAGCTGGATCCGACCCAATTGCCTTCTGGATATGGCCTGCAGATGGTCCAGGAATCACTGTGTGGTTCGGGCTGCGCCATTCCCTCCCCCCCACACACACCACAGCGGCGCCTCCTCCCTCCCTCCTCCTGGCTTCTCCCTGCCCTGCCTAGAGGAGGAAGGGGGCTGGGCTTTGTTGAGCCGTGGTTGGCTGAGCTCCATCTTAAGCAGCCCCTCTCTGGAGCCAGCCCTTTCACGCCACTCATTGTCCCTCCACTGCTGCCACCACCAGCCCCTGCTGCTCACAAGACACAGGTAAGCAGGTAAGGGCTCGTCTGGTGCTGTGGAGAAGGGAGGGGAGAGCCAGCGGGTTTCCCTCCCTCCAAAATAAGTCCGGCCCCCCACAAGGTCTTAGTGACAGTGGACCGGCCCCCTGCGGAAAAAGTTTATTGACCCCTCCCCTAGCCCCTCTTTAAAACCATATCCATTTTTAATCTGTTTTCCTCGTCTCCCTTAGCACTTGACCACTTTTGTCTTGGATCGGAAAGAGGCCATGATCACGGTGGATGACGGCATAAGGAAACTGAAGCTGCTGGATGCCAAAGGCAAAGTGTGGACGCAAGATATGATTCTCCAAGTGGATGACAAAGCTGTCAGCCTGGTGGACTTGGAATCAAAGGTACCGTGAAAAGCCTTTTAAGCATTGTGCCTTCATATTTTCAAAGTTGCTGGGGAAGAGAGAAATTGTCTTGGGGCTAGGGGGAAACCGCTTTATTTTTCAGGGTTTTGTATCATTTTTTAATAACTGCTTTACGGTCCTCTCTGTGTGAGCAATAGTTCGTAAGTCACGGAGCTTCTTGGGCTTCCACGCAATTGAGTTCTTTGATTCAGCGGCTTTGAGTAATAATTTGAAGATTTGCCATCAAATCTTCCTTTGCAGAATGAGCTGGAGAATTTTCCCCTCAGCACAATCCAACACTGCCATGCTGTGATGAGCTCCTGCAGCTACGACTCCATCCTTGCCTTAGTTTGCAAAGAGCCAGCCCAAAGCAAAGCAGATCTCCACCTTTTCCAGTGCGATGAAGTTAAGGTAAGGCAAAAGACAGAAACCGAGGGCGCTTGGCCTTTTAACTTTGCTTTGCTTAGGGCTTATCCACATCCACCTTTCCTCTGCTCTTTCGTTCTTTCTTTGCTCAATAGATTTTATTAAGGTTCGAAAGAAAATATACAAAGGTTAATATCAGATATCCAATGTCTTTGTAACACAGATAAAAGAAACCAATCTAAATAGAAACAGAAACCAAAAGGAGGGGTGGCGAGAAAAAGGAAAGGAAAGGAAAGGAAAAAGAGAACTTCTGATTCTTCATCTGTCAGCTATATATAGAAAATTACTCAGAGCATCCACTCCAAGATCACACCTAACAATTCTACTCTCTATAAACCAATATTTTATCCAGTCCTCAAACCCAGATGTCATAAGTTCAGGTTCTTTTTCATGCAACGAGTCTGGGGAGAGGTCTTTGGGAAGGCTGCAATTGGCCCCTGAGCCACGGGTTGGATCCTGCTGGATCAGTCCTGCTGGATCAGACCCCAAGGCCATCTAGTCCAACATCCTGTTCTCACAGTGGCCAACCGGATACCTATGGGAAGCCCACAAGTACAGCTGTTTATTGCCGATGCAAAGTGAAATACTTTTAATCTTGTGACTTGGGTTTTCTGATTTGATTTTTGAACTGCCTCGAGAAGGGTGGTTGTTGTTGTTTTGCTCTGAAAGGTGGTGTAAAGTAGTACATTGGTTACCTAATTTATTATTTAACTAAGGCCCATCTAGGACAACATTCTGTTTCCAACAGACATCAACCTCCATTGCCCTCCAGATGTTGGGCCACAGCTCTCATCAGCCCCAAGCAGCATGGCCAGTGGTCAGGGGCGATGAGATTTGTAGTCCAGCAACACCTGGAAGGCACCAGATTTCTTAGCTATGCTACAAACCATGGTTTTTCAGACTGAGATTGAGTCCATACAGGGCCAAAGTGTGAAGTGACCTTTAGCTAAGCCGCTCAGTCCACCTGCAGGCAGAGCTCATTTTCCTGCCGCAGTAATGTTTTCACCTGCTTGGCCCTCAGGGTATCCATGTAAATTGCTTGGATAGTTTACTCTGCCACACTGAATCAACTGGACATATATTGGAGGTGACATTCTGTTTTCTCCTGAATAAGATGCTTTTGCAAAATACTGAAGGGAGATGTCTTGTTTGGGGATGGAATGCTTGTTCTGCAGCCTTTGTCCGTAGCTGGATTTCTATCTTATTTTTTTAATTTCTCGTGAACAAACTTGATCCAAGTGTCCCCAAACTCAAAGGAACGTTGGCAGCCACTGAAGTGTGTTTGTCAGCATTTACTGGTGAACACCCCAAAACTGTGGAACAGATGGTGACTGTCAAACATTCCCCAGTGTACGTCTTGAGTGGTTGGATATTCGCAGAAGATTTCCACAGCTGTCAACATTCATTAAATTTGGGTCATTCCTTGTACTAGACAGATTAAAATATATAACTCCTTTCCTTTAAGCCTTAGTGTTGTATCCAGCTAAATTCTACTCACAGGAGACTCAGTGAAATTAAGAAAGTAAGAAGAGCTCGTTAGAGCATACTAATAACCCATCAAGTCTATCATCTTGGTCTTGTAGTAGCCAACCAGGTGCCTGTCAGAAGCCCATGAGCAGGACCTGATGAATTAATCCTAAATCGGTCATCTCCCATCAATTTCAGTAGATCTACTCTGAGTATGGCTAGTTCTGGAGCATATTCACAGTAACTTCATTTGCCTTTCCAGTCCCTGCTCTTTATATCCTCTTTCTATGTATCGCAAAGTATGGCCTCTTGAAGGTCTGATGCTTTTGGAACTGTTCCAGTGATAGTAACAGGACGGTGTCTGGTTGGCCCATGTGGCTGCCTAGCAGAATCTGTTTTCCCAGGACAATGGAAGTGGGCTCCAAGAATATGTCAGAGCTGCAGTGTTTTAGGAGATCGTAATCGTGAGTGTAAGCAGGCAACTTCCAAACTATCCACCAAAGCAGTAATTGTAGCCGTTTAAATTTGTTTCCTGCCCCTTAGCTTCCTTGCGAACTCAAAAATAGCCTTTCTGGTTATATCAAATGCCCTCTCTGTGGTTATAGACAAGAAACAAAACAACAAAAGGTGTACAACCAAAGTGTACAATTTCCACATAAATCGTTGGATCCAAAATAATGATCCAAAAAAGGAACAGCAACAATGCCCTCCTGGCAATACCTGGTTTTCAACATTGCAATATATCACCAGATAAACATAATGATGTACTGATATCTCATGATGTCTGAAATAAGGATGGAGCTATGTAGAGGCATTGGCTGGCTTCACGGTGATTTGTGATTTTTGCATAGCACGCGCACCATGATCCGCGATATATTGGCAGGTCACAATTCCCGAAACCGACATCACGATGCGGACTTCAAACTAGTTTTGGACAATACATGGCTGAGCCCTACTCATGAACAGTTCACGTCAGACAATGTGTCAGGCTCAGTCAGTACCTCTGCAGTGAATTAATGCCCAAGAATTCCTGAGTTGGCTGGCTGATGTACTTCGAAAACGACTGCCAGAGCCTGTTACGAGGAAATCAGGGAGACAACGATCAGAGCCTTCTTTCAGAGTCTTGCTTTGACAGGGCAGCAGAGACTGATCAGCCCTGAGCTAAAAGTGGCTTTTAAGACCGTGACACCCCTGCCTGACTGGATGAGAATGTGATAGTTTTGGCTTGCAAAGAGAAGTGCAAAGAGCACTGACTAATATTGGCAACTTTACCCTTGTACGGTTTTTAAAGAGCAGCTGTTCTGTATTTACTTGGAAGTGGAAGATTTGCTGTGTGCCGAATCCCCTTTTTAATTTTTTTTTAATTTTTATTTTTTGCTGGTGTGCCAATAACCTCGAAGCAGAGTCTGGCTTGTTGCCAGCCAATATCCCTAAAGATTATTGACTCCCACCTATTACGGCTTTCCTGAGGTGGTTGGCATGTGAGCAGATTTAAGCTGCAAACAGCAATCTGTATCTCATAGGTGCAATCGAGCTCTGTTATGAGGTTGGCACCCGTCTATCTCAGGAGACAATGGAGGAGAGCACCTTTGTCTTTTTTTTCTTCCAATTTCCAAAACTTGGAAAATTCTTTTGTCAGATACTCAATTAAGTTACCTTGCTCCAGTTCTAGAATTGACCTCAGTCTCAGATTATTTTCCCGGCTCCGTAGTTCTATCATAGACAGATAGGCCTGCTGCTCACCAATCTGTTTATGCAGTGGTTTTACCTCCTGCTGTAATACTTCAACTTTTTTATTGGCTTCCTCAGCCAATTTGCGATTTTCTGTAGTAGCTTCAAATAATTTCCCAATTGATTGTGCATTCAGAGCAACTTGTTCAGTTAGTTTGTTGACACTGGCTGTATTTTGGTCAATCTTAGCCGATTGTTCGTCCGCTTTTTTTATCCAGGGCTTCCAATTTTTCGAAAATTTTCTCTAATACCGTGTTAGACCCTCCTGCAGCCATGCCTTCCAACAAAGTTTGCTCAATTTCTTCTTCTCCTGTCCCCAAAACAGCAGGAACAGATGGTCTGTCTTCTGTCCCCAAAACAGCAGGAACAGATGATCTGCGCAACTGTGAAGTTAAAGTCAAAGTTGTTTGTTTAGCCTTTGCTTTAGCTGCTCTTGTCCTCCCAGAGCCGCTCATTCCAAATCCGTCTGGTAGCCAAGGTCAAATTATGTGTGATCCCATGGGAATCCACAGGCTCAAAGAGTAAACAACAAGATAGGAAGGTAGAGAGCAGGAAAACAAAGTCACGTACAGTTGTAAGTCCAAAATCCTCTAGAGGGAGCTCAACAGAGTATTGAGGGTAGAAAAGTCCAAATTTTCAAACTTTCCCAAACAATGTCCAAAACAATGTCCAAAAAGCCTTAAATTTCCAAAGAGCCTTCAGATCTCTTAAAATCAGCAGAGTTGGTCTTAAATGTAAAACAGTATCTCTAAAAAGTGCAAGAAACAATGTTCCAATGTAACAGTTCCAATAACACTCAGATGTAGCAATCCCAAGTTTCAAAATACCAAAGTCTGCAAAATGACAGTTCTACTTATCAGGCAGCCCCACTGCCTGGTATCCACTGTAAGATTATAGTTCCACAGGGAGAGGTTGAGGCACAGTCCATAACAAAAAAACAGAAAAGTAAAATTCTTAATCGATAAGGGCTGTTCTCTTTGATGCAAGAGTTGGTTGGTTTAAAATGCCTCTTCAAAGGCTCAGACTTCAAAGTCCTTTTGCTTTAGCTCTTTAGCAGAAGCGGAAGACGGACTTCCTGGTTACGTCTCCCGCTTTCAACCAAATTTTAGCTTAATTTAGTCCCCAAATCCTTCCGTCTTTTTACTCACGGGTTGTTGCTTTTAAAGTCGAATGTTCCCAGGAAAAACGGTCAGCGCTCATCGGCAGCGGCTGTGCGGCTTCACTCCACGGGAATAGCGATCGACCCACAGCACCGCGCCAGCCCGTCCACGTTCCGGAGCCCCTTACGGGGTTCCTTCCTCGCTTCTGGGGGCGCTTCGGGTGCCCGCCGGGTCCCACGACCACAGGCTATCACTGCCTGTGGGTTTCCGATGTGGGTCTCCGCTTTGCCGTAGCGGACGACCCGTTTCCACGGAGCTTCCCCTTCACAACATGAAGAGGACCACCATTACCGTTTCGCGCCGCCTCCGGAAGTCCGGAGGAGAGCACCTTTGGAGGTGAAGTTGGAATGGCTGGAGAGTTACAGCGCCTGCTGTGGCTGAAGAGACCAATATGAGAGGGAGGAGAAACACCAAAAACCCAAGAATGGTAGATTTCGAAGGGAACCCATGTAGTCAGCCCTTTGTAATGCAGGAACCACAGCCTCTGAGTAAAGTGAAGTCGAATGGCCATATAATCAGGACAGACTCAGAAATATCATTCGCTGGAGGTATTTGCTGTGCCACAGAGGGAAGCAGGATTATGTGCTAGATATGTCCTCAGTTAGATCTACCAGGGCTTGTACATCCTGACAACACCCTTCAGGGATGTGGTAGAGCCTGTTTGGCTTAAGGTAGGGATGGGGAATCTTGTTGGAATCTCCGTTACGACCGAGTTGATAAAGCTCATCTTCCTCCGGTCGAGTCCTCTGGAATCACCTCCAACGTGATTGATGACCTGAGCCTCTGATAAGGCTCCAGGCACATCCCAGTCAGCAGAGTATCAAAGCAGCAGAAGTGATGAGATTTATGGCTACATTGCTATGCTTTATTTTTTAGCTACACAGACAGAAAAGTAATACATCCTCTCTCTGTGAGAGCAGAGAGCAACTGAATAAAACAAAGGAACAAGAAACCAGTAACGTCACATCCGTCTCCTGTCTTCCGTGAGACTTCCAACAGCCTGGAATGTCTCATCATCGACCATTGGCTATGCTAGGTGGAGCTGATGGAGAGTTATGTCTCTCCAGATGTTGATGGACTCAAAAGGTCCCCATCCCGGATAGAGGGTTCTCTACTTACAGTGTGTTTGGTAGCCTGTGAATTTCCAACACCCCAAAGTGATGGCTGAATTAAACTTGGCAGTGATCCTGGGATGAGGCTTCAGCATTCCCCATAACCCCTTGCTTCTTACAGGGACTAGCAGAACTTGGATAAATGGTGCAAACCACATTCTAGATGTGCTTAATTTGTGTGATCTATGCATCTGCCCTGAGACCTGCAGGGTATAGTATGCAGATTTAATAAAATAACCATTCTTCTTATCTTGCTGCTGAATTTGGGTTGCTCTCTGGGCAGAATTTTGCTTTGCTCAGCATCTCCTTAACACAGCCCTGCTTTTAAGATCTTATGCTATTCCATATTGAATTTTCTGTTTTCACCTGTTGAACTGCTTCTGCCCAGGCAAACTTGATCCATGAAGACATTGAAAGTGCAATCAGTGACAGCAAAGGGGGGAAGCCAAAGAGGAGACTCGAAACACTCAGGTAAGGCGTATGTTTTGATTTGCAAATCGTATCCTATATTCCTCCTAACAGTGAACTGAGGTGCGGAGCACTGATAGAAGTGGGGTCAAAAGGCAGCAAAAACGAGAAAACGGGGGGAACTTGTTGGCATACTTGCAGCACCCTTGGGGCTTAGTCCAAGGCAAACTTCCTGAAAGGAGGTAGACAGGAATTCTGCACCAATAAATATATATGGGGTTATTATGTGCTCCACATGGGTTGTTCCACTGCTACAGCAGGGATTTTTATTTCCTCTTCTCCCTTCTGAGCCCTAGAAATCTGCCCCACAGGGTCCTTCAGCCCACCAGAGCTGATTATGAGGTTGGAGGGGGTGTAAGGCCACAAGGGATAGGTGAGGAAGAAAAACTTCTGTTGTGTGCACAGATATCTGTGTTGGTTATGGCCCACAGTGTAGTTGTTGTTGTTTAGTTGTTTAGTCGTGACCCCATGGACCAGAGCACGCCAGGCACTCCTGTCTTCCACTGCCTCCCTCAGATCCTTCATGGATCACTGCCTTGCCGTGGCGAAGGGGCTTGAATAGCTCAGAGAAGCTATGAGCTATGCCGTGCAGGGCCACCCAAGATGGACAGGTCATAGTGGAGAGTTTTGACCAAACGTGATCCACCTGGAGGAGGAACCGGCAAGCCACTCCAGTATCCCTGCCAAGAAAACTCCATGGACAAAAGCAACAGGCACAGTGTAGTAATCTGTACTAAAAATTATTAAATTCTTTAATAAAAAGAGCTAAACGCTTTCACTTACTTTGTCTTACCTGTTCAGCAGTGCCCTTACAGATTATGGTACTCAGGAACAGAAATGTGTACGATTAAGTAGTAGTGTTTTGCTGCAGGACTCACACATGTAGAAATGTTTGCAACCTTGAGCATACCCTGGGTTTTTTGGGATGGCTCACTTCCTCATGGGCACTTAGTCTCTTTCCACAATAGCTTCAAACTCCTTTGAAAAAAAAATCACACCCTGCCTGCTAATTGGGAAGGGGGGCACTTTCCCCACCTATTCATGAAATCTCTTTTATAGATGCTGACAAATTATCTTAAGTTCTCTGGAAAAGTGTGTCAGCTCTTGCTCAAAAACACATACGTTTATTTTAGCATTGTGTTATTTTGCTTTTAGACTAGCCCCTGCTGTACAAAGACGATGGTATTACTTTGGTTTTGATATGCACGATATTCAGCCTTATTGAAAGGCTCCTCCTTAGATTCAGATGTATAATTTATTGATGTTGCTTTGTGCTGCTTCCTAGGGAGAGCCAGAGATGGCATGTAGCTGAGAATTCAGAGTACAAGGGTTCTCTCTCTCTCCCTGCTATTCTAATAAACCATTGGAGGAAAAAGGTTTCATTTTCTCAGCATTTTGCTTTTGATTTGCTATGTCTCCCACCCAGGATGCTTTCCAAAGTTGACGGTGCCATTCCCCCGCCTCCGAGAGCACCAGCTCCCGTCCCTCCAGGTACTGTCACTCAGGTGGACGTCAGAAGCCGGGTAGCAGCCTGGTCCGCTTGGGCAGCTGAACAAGGAGACTGTGAGTGTTGCGGAAACCGTGAGATAACCTTGCATGGCAGAGACTGGCAACGTTCTGTGCCAAGCCTGTCGGTTGCATGGCCTTGGGCTGTACGTGGCCTGTTGACCTTGCCTGTGACAAACCTCCTCTCAGGGTATAGGCGAGGCTGTCTGAACTCCACACACGAAACCGCCACATTAGTTTGGATGACTTATCAAGAAGAGCTAAATTCTGCTTTGTATTATTTATTCTGGGTTCTTTAATTTTTTGAGGGGGCGGGATTTTAGCCTACAGTGCACATGTACCAGGGAAGAAGCTCTGTTGAATATTTATTTCTGTGTAAAAATGCATACAGTTGCTTTGCTGTGATTTTTCTTGCCATGGAGAAGGGCAATTAGCTAATCTAATTAGCAGTGAAGTCCCAATCTCTGAAAATCTTATCCAGCCACTCAGTTGGCTCCTAAGATTTCAACAACCACAGTTCGTTGTCCAAAGCAGGAACAATCTCACAGATGATCCAAGTCACTACTGGTTGCTTCTTTTAGGCAAAATCCACACCAGATATTTAAAGCACTATGATGCTGCTTTAGTAGGAGTAGGAGTAGTAATTGTTGTTGTTGTATACCTCCCATCTATCTGGGTTGCCCCAGGCACTTTGGGTGGCTTCCAGCAAAATATAAAAACACAACAAATCATCAAACATTAAGAGCTTCCATATACAGGACTGCCTTCAGATGTCTTCTAAAAGTCATATAGTTAGACAGTCATGGCTTCCCCCAAAGTATTCTGAGAGCTGCATGTTAAGAGTGCCAAGAGTTGTTCAGAAATCCTTATTTCTCTCAAGAGCTACAATCCCTATAATGGTTTGACAATCATTTCCTCTTGACAGGGAAGCCTGGAATCTGTAGCCCTGTGAGGAGAATAGGGATCCATTAGCAAACTACCGTTTCCGGAGTTCTTGAGGGGAAGCCATGATGTGGTATCATAATGTTTTAAAAGTTTGCTGTGAATGCAGCCTTCCTTTCTCTTCATGACTCATTTCACAACATGTGACACACATCGTTTGTGATGGACTAAGAAATAGCCCTTCTGTTTCAGGTATTGTGGGCTGCATATTGTGGGTTGCAAGTCATTGGACTTTGAAAACACTCTAGGTTCCTGTCCAAGCTGAGTGGATCAATTGGTATGTTTCTTTCCTTAGTTGAGAAATCTAGACAGTACCACGAGCATGAAGAAACGTCAGAAATGATGGCAGCCAAGATCGACAGAGATGTTGTAAGTGAAAGAAGTGTGTGTGTGTGTGTGTGTGTGTGTGTGTGTGTGTTCTCACCATGTTGTCCAAATCTGGTGAGATGTTGGATGTTAGCTACTTTGTGAGGTGGGAAGACAGTTAATAGGTGCAAGGCCTCTTTGCTTCTAGATTCCCCAAGAGCCGCTTCATTATGCTACATTTCCAAAGGATCCAACCCACTTTGAGTTCCTGCCTCAAATCTTAGTTGTAAATGGAGTTGAATAGCAACCCGCTTTCTCCTTTTCATTTTTACCATTCCTGGCTAGTTGTTCAATTTCTACGTCAACCATTCTCTCAAAAGAGCCCAGGGCAGCACACAACAAAAACAGCAAAACAATATTTATTTGTTTGACACTAAACAGTTATTTTAAATATTTATAAATATATTGTATTCATATATTTTATAAAATGAATCTAATATAAAATTAAAATTTATGAATAAATTTTAATAAATAAAATATGTATGAATGCATCCATTTTTAAAAAATTTGAAACATCTGGATACATTTCAGCCGTCACATGCAGATGGTAATTTCAAGATTGCCACAAATAGCATCTTCCGGCCATCAGATGCCTGCGTATTTTTTAAAAATTCCTCGTCCACAGGGAGGTCGTTCCATGAATGCATGCCGCTGTCGAGAAGACCCTTTCATGGGTTTCAGCACCCACCAAGTGACCCCCAGTGGCAGCTGTGCAGCTAACCTTTCTTCCCTTCCTTGCTCAGAACGAGCCCTTTGAAGGTTCTCAGCCTTTTGAGTGACGTCGTTGTCCTTCTGAGGGAGATGGCATACCTGCATTGCCAAGTCACAACCAGCACAGAGATCTTTCTATGCTTCTCTCTGCCACCTTTAGGCCTGCAGTCATTCCCCATCCCTTTTCATTCCAACAGAGCCCTGGCCAGCAGTGGGAGATGGGTTGCCCTTCCACGTGATCTTGAGGATGGAGAGACCCAGACAGCGTTTCATTTTTGTTTCGTTTCTCTTAGCCATGTTTTCAAAAGTAGGCACACAAAGTATGAGGGGAAAGCTCCTATCTGTAGCCCTGAAGTGGGTGTGCGCCACAGAGTCCTGATGGTCTGGCGCTTCCTGCCATAAGCCCGGTGCGTGTTTGAGGAAACGAGTCTGCTTTCACATTTTAATTTTGCATGTTTACAAGAGCATCTTGCTGCCTAAAGGGTGAAGGAGCAGTACCTTGGAGCTGGTTGCCTAGCAACCACGAGGCATTTGTCTTTCACTCTTTCAGATCTAGAAAATGACTGGTTTGGACTTTCAGCAGAGGCCAGGAAGCGTGTGACAAAGGGCATGAAGAGAATATTCCAGAGATACTGGGTAGCAAGGGCAAGATACACATAGGCCTTAGACCAGCCTTTCTCAACCTGTGGGTCCCCAGATGTTGTTGAACTACAACTCCCATTGCCCCTAGCTAGCAAGGCCAGAGCTCAGAGATGATGGGAGTTGTAGTCCAACAACATCTGGGGACACACAGGTTGAGAACTGCTGCCTTAGACCAACCTTGGGTTCCCCAGCTGTTGTTGGACTACAGCCACCATCTTCCCTAGCCCAATTGTCCAGGCTGATGTGAGTTGTGGTTCAAGGACATCTGGGACCCCAGCATTGACGAAGGCTGCCTGGGATCTAACATCAGGGCCTGCTTCCCAGCTCTGGATGCCACAAGTCCATGAACCACCCTGAGATTTTTCAGATGACAAACAGGATACAAACCTAATAAATAAAATTTAGAAAGTTTGGAGCACCTGCTCTTGGGCTCTCCTGTGCTGCACGGGACTGCTCTGTGTTGCACACACAGTTTGTGCAGAGCAAACATAAGAAAAGCCTTGCTGGATCAGGCCCATCCTGTCCTCACAGTGGTCAGCCAAAAGTCTGTGGGAAGCACTCTGCCCACCTGGGTTCGCCAGCAGCTGGTCTTCAGAGGCACACCGACTTTCTTGATCTGCAGGCCCAAGGGAGGGCCTGCGAGGGGGTTTGATGCAGGGATGCCAAAGGAAGATGCTAAAAATATCAGAATGGCCAGTTCTAGTGCTTTATTAAAGAAAGGTGTGATCTCACAGCCTTCAGAGCCCCGCTGCCTTTACAGACTCGGGGTCAAAGCAACAAGCAGTCATCACGACTTGTCCACACCAGGGAAAGCATTTAGGCAATAACAACAATTTATTATTTATATGCCACTCATCTGACTGGGTTGCCCCCAGCCACCCTGGGCGTCTTCCAACAAATTAAAACACAGTAAGACATCAAACATTAAAAACTTGCCTATACAGGGCTGCCTTCAGAAAGCCAGATAGTTGTTTATTTCCTTGGCATTCTGCCTGGTTCCCTGTAATAGGGTTGCCATATTTCAAAAAGTGGAAATCCAGAGACAAAAGTTGTTGAGTGTAGTTGTTGCCATACGCCCGGAGATTTTTACTGATTTCAGGAAATTCCGCCCGGGTGGATCCCAGCTACGTCCGGGAAATTCTGAACGTATGGCAGCCCTACCTGTAACCTCATTTCTTGCAGCGAGGGAGCCACCAGAAGGCCCTCGGAGCTAGGTCTTAGTGTCCGGGCTGAAAATTGTGTATAAATTTTGTAGTTATACAAAGGCAAGCTACCTCATCTGGTTTCATTAGCCCAATTAACTCACCCCTAGCTTGGAAGCCCCCTCCCAACTCTCTTCCATCTCCTAGATAAGGAGGTAGCTGACAGGCAGTCAGTGTGAAAAGTCTCCTCTCAACTAGCTAAGTGTTGCAAGCCCACAGATAAACATAGCATCAGAGTAAGCCAATTGGCATACAGTCATACCTCTTGTTACATTCGGTTCAGGTTACGTTCTTTCAGGATACATCCCGCGGTGACCCGGAAGTATCAGAACTTCCAGGTTTCGCCGCTCGTGCCTGCACAGACGCTCAAAATGACGTCATGCGCAGAAGCGGCGAATCGCGACATGCGCACACGCAGACGCGGGTTGCGTTCTGCTCATGTTGCGAACGGGGCTCCGGAATGGATCTCGTTTGCAACCAGAGGTACCACTGTATATTAAAGCAAGTATATTAAGTATGTGGGCTGATTCTTGCCACGACTAACAATTGATCCCGGAGTTATATTGACGGGTCAAGATGCCATTTACAGGCCTTCTGGAACATCGCCACCATTTGTTTCTGGCAGTGGAGGTGGAATATGACCATCATGGCTTCCTTGAATTTGTCTTACCTGCTTTTAAAGCCATCCAAGTTGGCGGCCGTCTCATGAACTGAGACTGTGCCTTGGGACGTACACCAGTTTTGCAACTGCGCATTGCAAAGGAAGACTGGTAGTCGTGGAAAAGCTAGTTTGCTGTCAATGGTCAGCAGAGTCAAGGTCTGCAGAGAACCGCACGACTTCCCAGAACACAGCCCAGATACTCTTTTTTTTATCACTTAGTATATTCGTGGACCATTGGTGGTGGTTGGTCCCCTTAGAACAGGCAGGGCAGAAAACAGGGGAGGCCCACAGGAGGGAGAACCAGAGGCAATGACTTGTGGAACCAACTAATTATTGTTAATTTCTCCCTGCTGAATTCTGCAGAAGTGCAACTGAGACTAAGGAAGGGGAAGCAGAGAGGCATTCCCCCCCCCCCCGGGCTGCTTGTAAATATGGAGGCAGGCAGGGACATTTGTCCTAATGGTCCAGGGTGGTGTGTGTGGTTATATTTTCGTTTGTCCCCCTTCCCACATTTTATCTTCACTGCTGTCCTAGCTTAGGGATACCCACTGAGCTTAAGGGCTGAGCAGGAATTTGAACCCAGGTCTCCACAGTCTTGCCTGACACTCTCACTCAGGGGTAGCAAAGCCTTCCAGATGGTTTCTCGAATCCAACTCCCTTCACCCTCTGCCACCACGGCCAATAATCAGGGTTGGATGGGAGTTGTCATCCAACATCTGGAGGGCTCCCCATGGACTATCCCTTCTCTAACCATTATACTATACTGCCTCACAAGCAGAGGGTGGGTGTTTATAGAGCAGGCTTGAGGCTTGAGTCCTGCTTTCAGGTCCTGCACAAAGCCTGACCCTGGCGAAAGCAGTCTAAATACCTGTGAAGTACATGCATCAGAAAAGTCTTTGGCTGCACTGGGTTATTAGCTCAGTCTGTAGAGCTTGAGACTCTTTACTCTCAGGGTTGTGGGTTCAAACCCCATATTGGGCAAAAAGATTATGACATGGCAGGGGGTTGGACTAGATGACCCTCGTCGTCCTTTCCAACTCTACATTTCTGTGTACCATACAAGACCTTTGCTTTGCCTCTCAAGCTGAGCGCTAAAAATATTCGTGGCTGAATCAGTTTCTTTTGCCCCAGAATGCAAGAACCCTGGCTGTCGAAACAGTAATAGTTTTATAGCTTTATAATAGCTGGGCATTTGAAGACTTAAGTTGGCCAGGATGAGGTGGGGTGAGTGATTAGCTGTCTGTACCACCCCAGGCAGGCCGATATTTCAGCAGTTTTGCCTGTGTGTGGGAGAACATGCAGAAGGAATTAAGTCTTCAGCCCCGGGACTTAATCATCTCAAATCTTACTTAGTAAGAGTCTTTGTTGACGATGGCTTCCTAAGGAAAATATAGGCCTGAGCTGTATAGAAATGTCAGGCGTATTAATTTTAGCATGTGTCGCTTCCTGTGGATGGAATGTTCTCTTCATCCCCGCTGCGGGTTCTAATTCTGCTCAGTGACTAACTGCGCTGCACTTTGGGTGGAGTCCCTGGCATTTCTGATCTCCTTTTCCTCCTCCTCCTCCTTGCCCCCTCCTCTTCTCCTTAGCAAATTCTAAACCATATTTTGGACGACATTGAATATTTCGTTACCAAGCTTCAGAAAGCGGCAGAAGCATTTGCGGAGCTTTCGAAGAGGAAGAAAACCAAGAAGAATAAGAAGAAAGGGCCTGGGGGTAAGGAGTTCCTTTTGCCTGAATGGCTTTCCAAGAGACCCCCATGTATCCAGCTTCGGGGATGAGGGACCTGTAACCTTTTCAGCGCTGTCAGATTAGGCACTTGCATAATCCCTGAGCTGGCTGGGGCAGATGGGAGCTGGGAGTCCCACCACATCTGGAGGGCACAGGGTTGGCTACCGTTGCCATGAAGTGACGCCAGATTAGAGCCTGGGATTTGGACAAACAGCAACAACATTCATATGTCCCTTGTCATGGGCTGGTTGGATGCAGAGGAATGGTGGGAGGAACCTGGGGAAACCTCAAGGGAAAAAGGCTCAGAGCCCAGGGAATGGTGGTGGGATGACAATAAGTGGTCAGAGGGAGAAGATTGGGAGGAGGAGCAGTTGGAAGCTGAAGAGGCAACAGGGCTTAGTGAGCTGGGAGAGTCTGTGGCAGAGAGAAGTCCGGAAGCAGAGGCAGAAGCAGGAGAGGATGGAGGCCAAGAGGCAGTGATGAGTCGGGCTGCTGAAGAAGCCAGAGTGTCTGCCCTGGTCTCCCAGAACTCAGAGAGGCCTGAAGTGGGAGGAGCAAAGGCAGACTTGCAAGCACAGTCTCAGAATGTTTTGGGGAAAACCCTGGAGAGGAGGGGACTTAGGCAGAGGTGGAAGGCAGGGACCTTCAGTCTCTGCAACTGACCAGACCTACTGAAGAGTTGCTGTTCTCATTTGGCTTGACTCCCCTGTGCAGATCCTGTTTTTTCTAATAAAAGGAAAACTTACCTCTGTGTGATTTACTGCTGACTGGCTCCTGACACTTGAGGACTATGTAAGCTCTCATGGAGAGAGCCACTGAGATCTTACGATGAAGGGTGGTATATAAAGTAATCACAACCACCACCAATCACCACCACCATCATCTTGTAGCCAGTTGTGCAGTTCAGTAATTTAAAACTATTGACTTAATGGCCTTGGAGGGATCCAACGTAAGGGGTGGTGGACTACAACTCCCATCATCCCTGGCCATTGGTCATGCTGGCTGGGGCTGATGTGTGTTGGAGTCCAACTTAACACTGCAGGGGGAGTGCTGAGCTAGGACCACTCTCCCTGATGCGCTTCTGCTGCTGCTACCGCTACTGTGTACCTTCAGAGGCACCTCATTCTGCTTTCACATGTTGTGGATGCCTCCCAAGAAATTCTACCAGGTGATTTTCTTTTGTTCTTTGTTCCTCAGAGGGTGTCTTAACTCTCCGCTCCAAACCTCCGCCTCAAGACGAATTTGTCGACTGTTTGCAAAAATTTAAACACGGCTTCAACCTTCTGGTAAGTGGCTGTGTGCAAAATACTCACAAAACGTAAGAGCCCTGCTGGATTGGGAGGGAAAGCCCTTCTTGTCCAGCATCCCATTCTCACAGTGGCCAACCAGATGACTGTGGGAAGTAGGAGCGCAACAGAACTCGTAATCCCCAGCAACTGGTATTCAGAGGCACACAACCGACAACAGTGGAAGTGGAGCCTAGCTGCCTGAAAATAACAAAGGACATCTCTATGCAAGGATCAAAGAGAGGAGGAGGGACTTTGCATGCCCAAGGCATTTTACCCATCATCCAGTCTGAGACATCGTGTACTGTGATTAAATAAAAAGCTATAGGTTTGATGCTCTGCCTTGACAGGCAGTGTCAAAGAGCTTTCCTGCTACCTGACAGTGTTTTAACTAGTAACCAGATATTGCCCTGGACCTTCTAAACAAAACCTGCATGCTACGTAACTAAGATTTGTTGTTTCCCATTAACTGCCTTTAAAATAGTTATTTCTCTTTCTCTTCCTTTTCTTTTCTCCTGCAGGCTAAATTAAAGTCCCACATCCAGAATCCCAGCGCATCCGAATTGATTCATTTTCTGTTTACCCCTTTAAATATGGTAAGATTATTTCTAGATATAAAACATCACAATGTTTCATAAAATCATAGACTTTAGGATCGGAAGGGACCATGAGGGTCATCTAACTCTGGAATCTTTTGCCCAATGTGGGACTCGATCCCACAGCCCTGAGATTCAGAGTATTGTGTTCTGCTGACTGACCTATCCCAGCTTATAGCTCCTGAGCCCTTCGAAATTAATCAAATGGGAAATGGACAATGGAGATGATGTATGCCACGAAAATGAAAAGCATTGTCTACACTTAAAAAAAACTTTTTGGTGGAACCCAATTCGTGCTCTTGCATTTGTGGAAGAGCTTTGGATGGTGGGGGCACTTCTACTAACTGGAGAAGAAGAAAAACATTTTTTCCCCATTTCTTCTGTAAGAGCAAACGTTATCTAGTCTAGCATCCTGTTCTCACATTGGCCAGGGGAAGCCCTGCAAGCAGGAACTGGAGCACAACAGCGACTCTCTACACTTGTGATTTGCAACTGGTTTTAAAAGGCATACTATCTTTCACAATGGGGACAGTTCATAGCCATTGTTACCTAGTAGCAATTGATGTAGGCTTTCTCCCTGAAGCCCCCTTCCACCTGTTCTGGAGGGTATTGGGTGGGGGCACCGCAGATAGAAGAGGAATCAGGAAATATCATCATGTCCCTTCTGATCCCATTAGTAGAGGCGTCCCCTGCATCAAAAACTTCCTGCAACTGTGCCGGTTGGATTCAGAACGCATTGCTGTTTCGCTGACATCTTGTCCGATCAATTGCAAAGGCTCCTTTCGGCCAAGTGTAGGTTAAAAATGCTGAAAAGAAATTGGAACTGGGTCCCAAACGCTTGAATAGTTTCAGTTGCAAAGCATGTGCCTGTGCAACTCATTGAAAATTCCCTTTAAAATACATAAAAGCAGCAGCTGGGAAAGGACTCCAGCCTCATTTGCATGTATGTTAAAGGAGAAGGCAGCGATTTTCCTTTTTACACTTGAACCCAATTACAAAACACAGGGTGAGAATTTTCCCTGGCAATGCTTCCTCAAACGCCAGGCTCAAGAACATCCATGATCACTCCTACCATATCAACAATAAGCCTGCTTTCAATTCTCTTTGTCGTAGGTGGTGCAGGCAACGGGAGGGCCTCAGCTCGCTAGCACAGTCCTCAGCCCCCTCTTAACAAAAGACACAATAGACTTCCTGCGTTACACCGTCACAAGTGACGAAGGACAGCTATGGGTGTCTCTGGGTGACACGTGGACCAAAGCCAGGTAAAAGGAAATTAACATGTTGGGCTTGTTTATCTACCAATATGAGCTATGTTTTGCTTCACGGGCATCATCCGGTTTTTTCTCTGAGCCCGGCTTTGGCCGGGGAGGGCGGGATACAAAAAAAAATATTACTAATTTATTATTATTATTCTGTGCACACTGCTGTGAATGCTGAGAACATAGGAGGCTGTCTAGTAACAGAGTCAGACCGCTGATCCATCTAGCTCAGCATTGTCTGCACTGATTGACAGCAGCTCTTCAGGATTTCAGACAGGGAATTTCTCCCAGTCCTATCTGGAGAAGCCAGGGGTTCAACCTGAAATCTTCTGCATGCTAAGCAGATGTTCTACCCCCTGAGCTACGGCCCTCCCCCAGTTGTTTTGCCGTGGGATCAAGGTTCTGAAAACATCATCATCATCATCATCATTTTTTATTTGTATGCGGCCTTTCCACAGTTAAAAAACAATGCTTAAGGCAGCTTACAGCATAACAAGATTTACATACAGTGGTACCTTGGGTTACATACGTTTCAGGTTACATACGCTTCAGGTTACAGACTCCGCTAACCCAGAAATATTACCTTGGGTTAAGAACTTTGCTTCAGGATGAGAACAGAAATTGTGCTCCAGTGGCGCGGCAGCAGCAGGAGGTCCCATGAGCTAAAGTGGTGCTTCAGGTTAAGAACAGTTTCGGGTTAAGTACGGACTTCCGGAATGAATTAAGTTCTTAACCCAAGGTACCATTGTAATTACAAAAGTCATAAACAATAAATAAACCACATCAAAAAAATACACAACCAAATGGGAAACAATTTCCACATAAATCAAAATCTAAAACTCAGAATACAGCATTAATATCACAGTTTAAAATGGTAAAAATAATAGCAATTTAAACAAAAACAAAACAAAATGGAGCCCTCTCTGCCCAGCAGCAGCAGCGGCAGCAGTCCTTTATAGAGCCCATCAGGCCCCGCCCTGGGCCAGGTGTTGAGTGGCAGGACTGGGGCCCTCAGGCGCTAAGCAGGGGAGTTCTTCTGGGTGGTAGCAGCCTCAGCAGCAGTTCTTATAGGCCTGACATGACTCACTGGTCAGAAATCTGAAAAACTGCCCCAAATGGGGCTTGCAGATCCCACCACAACATGGACTTGCCTTACAACCCCCCCCCCCCCCGGTTTGTGTGAAGAACACCTGCCATGCCAGGGAAAAAGCTGCGCTTGGTGAGGTGGAGTCTTGGGAGGACTGGCATGTGACTTCCTATACAGTGGTACCTCGGGTTAAGAACTTAATTCGTTCCAGAGGTCCATTCTTAACCTGAAACAGTTCTTAACCTGAGGTACCACTTTAGCTAATGGGGCTGCCGCGCCGCCACCACACGATTTCTATTCTCATCCTGAGGTAAAGTTCTTAACCTGAGGTACTACTTCTGGGTTAGCGGAGTCTGTAACCTGAAACGTTTGTAACCCAAAGCATTTGTAACACGAGGTACCACTGTATTGATAAGGTCATCTTTAGATGGGCATTCATAGAGTGGGGTGATGGTGCAGGCAATGGAAAGATTAGAGACAGGGGTGTTGTCTGAAGCTCACCTCCAATTAACCTGGAAATTATCCTCACACCAAATCAAAAGCGCTTAGATCATTTTAAAAATCCTATTCAGGGACTCGTGGAAAATTATCCATTCTATTCAGTCCAAAGTCTCGTGAAAATCACCCACTCTCTGTCCCTTGCTCTATCCTAGCTCAGAGCTATGCCGTAGCTGTGACACTTGTCAGCATATATGTCTATTATTTTTTAAAATACCCTGCCCTCTCCTCACCTTCTCACCATGCCTATAAGTAAGCAAAAACTACACCAGTGTCCTATTAATTCCGCCTGCTCTTAGGACTGGATCAATGGCATTTATTACCTTCATCCATTTCTGACAACACCCATAAATAAGAGATGGCCTCCAAAAAAGGAGAAAAGGGGAACCATAAAGTGTCTTTCAGAGAGCTGTATGTGAGAAGGCAGTAATTCAAACCACAGGGCGATGCTTTCTATGCATGGTGCATAGGCATCTCTAACCCTGCGAGGAAAATCCCGCTTCTGGTGCAGTAACATCACGTCGTGAGAGCCAGCTGATCTCAGCGGAATATCTTCACTGATTCCAGAAATCCCCGTCTCGTTAGAAGCTGCCGACAGTGATACGCTGTGAGAAACACAAGTGTTGAAAAAGTGAAAGCATTGTGGTTTCCTAGCTTTGTCTGTGTAGTTTTTTAAATAATAAGAAGAAAAAAATAAGAAGAAAAACATACATTTACATAGGTGCATAGTTCAGCATATAATGCAATATTGCAATAAAGCAAAAAATAAAATTAAAAAATGATCTGGTTGTATACTGTCCCTGACATACTGGAATATAATAAACATGGCACATCATTCTGAGAATCTTAGTTGTACATTAGTTACTTTATAATAAACAGCACTGTGATCTCTGGGTGAAGGGTGGTATAGAAATTTTAATAATAATAAGAAGAAGTTTTTTAAATCTCAGTTGTTTTTTTAAAAAACCAATAACTATTCTTGAGACTAGTAGCTGTTCTCCCCAACCCTTCCCTTGCTTTAGCAAAGCTTATTTTTTGCAGCAGAGAGTAGAACATAATCACAGAAGACAAGGCTGCTGGATCAGGCCAATGGCCCATCTAGTCCTGGATTCCTGTTCTCACAGTGGCCAACTAGGTGCCTATGGGAATCCTGCAAGCAGGACCTGAGTAGAAGAGCACACTCTCCCTCCCCTCCCCTCCCTTCCCTTCCAGCAACTGGTTGTAAGAAGCGTTACTGCATCCAACTGTGTAGAGGCAGAGCACAGCCATCGTGGCTCCTAACCCTTGATAGTATTATCCTTTGTGAATTTGTCCAGTCCTCTTTTAAAGAGCCACCCAGTAGGTTGATAGTCACTTCCCAATCTTCCTGCAAGAATTCAGATAATTTAGTATAGGGTTACCAGACGTCCCCAGTTCCCGGGAACAGTCCCTGGATTTGCAAATCTGTCCCCGGAGAAATGCCATCCCCAGAATGTCCCCAGATTTACAAATCTGTCCTGGGAAATGTGGCAGCGACAGCAGCCCAGAGCCAGCCTGGTAGCGCAGTGGGCTCTGGCTGGCTTCAGGAGCTGCGCTACCAGGCTGGCTCTGGGCTGCTGACTGCCACTGCCGCCACCACTGCTGAAGAGGAACAGGGGACATTTGGCTGTACAGATCTCCTGCTCCTTCCCCCTTTGTTCTGACTGATTGGGGGAGGCTCAGGAGTCATGGGCGGGCAGCTGTTGCCAGTTTTTTAAAAACTCTGTGCATTTATGTTTCACAGGGTGCAAAAGAAGGGCTTTGCACCTTTATACAATGCACATGTGTGCTTGGGCCCAGGGTCTTTTGCCTCACCATCCCCACTACTGACTCCCTGTTGCTACTCAGGCTTCATTGAAAAAAATCTGGTAACCATAATTTAGTAGTAATATTTGTGGAGTTGTTTCATAGTGGGCAACCTAGTCATGTCTTCAAACCTGTTCCTCCTTGAATGCAGAGCAGAGTGGCCCAAGGAGCAGTTCATCCCACCCTACGTGCCGCGGTTCAGAAACGGATGGGAGCCCCCTCTTCTGAGCTTCATGGGATCCCCAAAGGAACAAGAGCTCAACCAGCTAGCTGAGTCGGTGGCAAACGTAGCTGAGCACCAGCGGAAGCAAGAGTTGAAAAGGTTATCAACCGAGGTAGGGAAGAGGGCTGCCGCCGGCTGCTAAGCCCAGGTGGAGGGTTTGTGCGCATCAGGCCAGCGGGAAACAGGCAGGCGATGTGATCCACACAGCAATTCTACAATGGCTGTTTATGGATGTTTACAAGTGTCAGGAGTTCAGCCTACACTTGAGTAGGACCCTGGCAGATACACATGCCCGACTGGCATGTTCTCTCCCTCCTGGTCTTTCGTTCGGGAGCTTCATGAGCTTTCTTCTGCCCGAACGAAAGACCAGGAGGGAGAGAACATGCCAGTTGGGCATGTGTCTCTGCCAGGGTCCTACTCGAGTGTAGGCTCCAGAACGGAACTCCAGAACTTCCCACTCTGTGGAGTCAGAACATATACCGTCATGTGATAGACAAAAATCCCATGACTGCAATCGTGGAGCAGGAATTCTAACATCAAGCGCTGCTATCCTTTCTTCCCTTTGGCATCTACTTCTTCCTCCTTTCAACCCCTTGGCTGCTAACTCCTTTGGGGAAAGAGGCAGCCATTGCAAACGCAGGCAAGCTAATGGATCCAAGACTAGGTACCTGTGAAGCATCCTAAAGATGGATATTGACTGGGGGCCATAGCCAAGGTGGGGCCAGTGGGTGCATTAAAAAAAATCTGAATTTTTGAAAATAGCAGCAGCTGGTGCCCCCTCCTCCTCTGCCCCACAGCAGCAATGCTCAACACCAGTGCCAGATTTACACTCTTGGGCCCCCCCCAAAAAAAAATTAAAGGAAAAAAACCTGGATGTACATTTCCAAAATATAAGTTAAAAAACAAATAAAATAGAACCTACATACAGCAACAGTGTTTTGTGTTGTGTAGGCTCCTGTGATGTAAGTAATGGGCCCCTCCTGCTAGCCTGCTCCCTAAAATATCACTGGTTTGCTCATTTCTACATTTCTTTACTTTGATAAAATACATATTTTGTTATGTGCAAATGGCTTTAGATACCTATTAGGTCCATAAATTACCATATAGCATATATTCAACACAAAAAAACAGTGACAATTTGTTGTTGACAAAGGACAGCTGGACATATAAAGGGCCCCGTTACCTTCAGTAGCTTAGGGCTTCATCAAACCTAAATCTGGCCCTGCTCAACACTCCCATCTGTCTGAACCTCACAGTTCTGCCCATCCATGTTTCCTGCTGATGGGTTTTTTTTTTTTTTTAAAAAGTCTCTCTCTCTCTTGTACTTACATGAACCTGCCAATATCTTAGATTTTTGCTATGGTGGAAGGGAGCATGGCAGGATGCCTAGAGGGGAAGAAGGAGTAACTTAAGGATGTTATTATTTATTTAAGAACAATGTTCTTTATAAGCGCACGAAAGCTTCTGAATGTAAAAAAACACAAACCTGTGCTTTTTTAGGTTATTTACTTTGGATGTTAACAGTTCATGGACACTAAGGTACGCATAGGCATTTGGGTTGAGTGAGAAGGCAGTAACCAGATAGTTATGAAGAACTCTGTGCTATTCTGTTCACTTATTAGCAGCACCTGCTAGCAAGGAATCCTGACTGCAGCCTGGCTTCCCTTTATTTTTAAGGGCAGAAATCACAAAGCTCTTTAATTCCCGCCGTAAAATGTAAGTCAGACTCATTTGGCTTTGCTAGTGTAGATGAGGTATACTGATAACCAGCAGGTGGGGAAAATGTCATGAGGCTCAGTGCGTCTTTGCATTCTCCCTTCAAAGAATAAAATATAGTGGCCTCGCATTTCACACTAAACCATGATTTAGTGTGACATGCTAGAAACAAGCCTGAGTTTTTCTAAAGCTGACATGCCTCTGCCACCTATATAGATTGGAGGGTGCCTTTGAGACCATGTAGCCTCCATTTCACTGGATATGTTTCAAAACAATCCAACTTCAAACCGTGGGTTAGGAAGGTGGTTTCTGAAAGCAGCCAGAGTTTATTATAAACCACAATGCCTGCTTTGCATGCAATGGCATGCCAGGATTCTGCAAAAAAACCCCACAACTAACCACTTTCAAAGTTGTCATCCAATGCTGAAAGAGGAGAGGGGCGGGAGAATGTGCAAATCACACTAAACCGTGGTTTAGCTTGACATGTAACTGTGACCATTACCAATATGTCCAGAAATCAATAGTAGTGCAAGAGGAACAGAAGACAGTCCTTGATTCCTAGTAAGACAGGAGCAGTGTCTTGCCAGAAAGAAAGAAAGAAAGAAAGAAAGAAAGAAAGAAAGAAAGAAAGAAAGAAAGAAAGAAAGAAAGAAAATTGCCAGGTTTCACAGTATCCAACTGAAATCTGTGAAGGCTTTTGGTGTCTTCATCTAGGTGCACGTTAGAGGCCTTCCAAAACTCTTAAGTGAACATGCAAACTCTGCCCATCTTCCAGGCCCTGAATTTGGGCTAACAGATTGCAGCCTTTTACTTTAATGGAAAGGTGTGGAAAAGATCGACACAGAAACTTCAACCTTTGTTTCCTTTTCAGACTGGAGTCGCATGCCCCCAGTGAGCTAGTGGCATGAAAAAACTTCTGTGTACCCTAAGCTCAGAGCTCACCCCCACAAGATTGTCTTTTTCCTGCAGGGCATCCTCTTTTTTTTTAATACAGAAAAATGCACCCCAGTGCGAGTTAACAGCATACTTGTGGCTGCCATGGTTACAGTGCCTAACCCGGAGAAGTAAGCTTTGATCTGACGTCTAGGAAAGTACATCAGAAATTCTGATTCCTGAAAATTATTCCGAGCTTAAGCTGCGGAGACATCTGCTGGCATTCCCCCCCCCCCCAAAAAAAGCCCCTGCTACTTTGAATAGGTTTCCTGCTTGTGCATAATTACTGTAATGAACTACAAGGTGGTGTCAGTTGTTTCCACCGCAATTATTAAGAGACATTTTGTGCTTTTGCGGCACACTGGAGTCATACCAGGGACTGCAATTCACGTCCCTGGTGGTGCATGCCAGGTGGTAGCTGGTGGATCTTAGCAACTTCGGTGCTCTCAAGTACATTGTGTAGCATCTGCTGTCGGAAGTTGCAGCAGCTGGTATCCATATTGCAGATCCAGGAAGCATCCACATAGCTCAGTGCTGTGTCCCAGGCTCAGTCCCTGACAATCCCAGTTAAAAGGCTCCGGTAGTGAGTCTGGTTTAGGCTTTTGCCTGAGTTTCTGGAGAGCCACTGACTGACAGACAGGTTGGGGTGGGGCCATAGCCTAGGGGTAGAGCATCTGCTTTGTATGCAGGTTTCATCCCAGGTATCTCCGGGTAGTGATGGGAGAGGCTCCCTGTTCTTCGTCCACTGTCAGAGGCATGCTGGTTTTGACCTTTAAAGCCCTATGCGGCCTAGGACCCACGTACCTGCAGGACCGCCTCTCCTGGTATGCCCCGTGAAGGACCTTAAGGTCCACAAATAACAACACTTTGGAGGTCCCGAGCCTCAAGGAGGTTAGATTGGTTTCCACTAGGGCAAGGGCCTTTTCAGCACTGGCCTCGATGTGGTGGAACGCTCTGTCACAACAGACTTAGAGCCGTGTGGGATTTGACATCTTTCTGCAGGGCCTGTAGACAGAGCTGTTCCGCCTGGCCTTTGGTTTGGACTCAGTCTGACCCTTATGTTTCCCTCCCCTTATGGTCTTGATTTATCAGCTACTTTAAAATGAGGCTGCATTTCTAAATTGCATTTTAATCTGTATTTTAAATTGGTTTTTTTCCTCCCCGCCCTCTTTCCCCCCTATTATGTTTTTACTGTGATTTTATTGATGTTAACCGCCCTGAGCCTGGCTCTGGCCGGGGAGGGTGGGGTATAAATAAAATTTATTATTATTATTATACTTCTGAATATCAGCTGCTGGGAATCACAGGAGAGGGAGAGTACTGTTGTCTCAGGTCCAGCTTGCAAGCTTCCCACAGGCACCTGGTGGGCCAACATGAGAACAAGATGCTGGACATGATGGACCATGGGCCAGTGTCTCCTGAAGTTCTCATGGAAACCTGGAGAGCTGCTGCTAGATGGGCCAATGGTCTGACTCAGTGCAAAGCAGCTTCCTATGTTTCTGTGTTGGTGTAGACCAGGCATAGGCAAACTCCGCCCTCCAGGTGTTTTTGGGGACTACAATTCCCATCATCCCTGACCACTGGTCCTGTTAGCTAGGGATGATGGGAGTTGTAGTCCCAAAACATCTAGAGGGCCAAGTTTGCCTATGCCTGGTGTAGACAATACATACTGGGATACAGGGACCAGAGTAGGAGACAGCTTTCTGTGCCCAACACTCTGAAACAGACTTCTCATACCTGGTACCTTCCAGATATTTTGGACTACAGCTCCCATCAGCCCCAGCCAGCATAGCCATGAGGCTGATGGGAGTTGTAGTCTGCAATATCTGGAGGGCACCAGATTGGGGAAGACGGCAGCAGTATGTTCTCTACTTAGCTTCTGTTGTCTTCTGGGCTGTGATCAACTAGAGAATATAGTGGAAGTGGAAGCTCTGCGCTGATATGAGTCACGAAGGAATTGTGCACCGTGTATGAAGAGAGGCTTCCTTCAAACCTCTGTCTTGCGTTCTTGGAAGCAAGGTACAGATGAACCATCTCCTGTCTCCCAAGACTAGACGAAAGGCATGGCAAAAGTGTTCTGGAGCTGATGACTTCCATGCGTTGCAGGCCTGTGAACCTGCTGGCATGAACCCAAGGCATCCCCAAGGTGGCTTTGCCCTGCCAGGTTTTCCATAGTTGTGTGAATTAGCCTTTAAGACAATTAAGACAACGATTGTGGTGTGAGTGCACAGAGAAGCTGTGCATTATGTGCAATGGAAAGTCAGCTGTGGACTTTCTGTGACTGACAAGCGTTCCTTGTTTTCTCTCTTTCAGCATTCCAGTATCTCAGATTATCCTCCGTCTGAAGGGTACGCATTCAGTAACACAGCTTACAAGCGAGGGCCCTTGCCGGACCAGGGGGCAGCTGTAGCCGCTTTTAAGCAAACTGTTAGCCGACATGTAGATAGGTAACATTTCAGTGGATGTCATGTGCACAGCTGTGGAGAACTGTCCCAAGCAGTTGCTTTTAGGGTGGAGGGTGCCTGCCTCTTTACTTCTACTTCTCTCCATTGGTTCTAGAAGTAGACAATCCTCTCTCTGTGTTAGAGCTAATATCTAAAACCTCTTTTACTCTGCTTTTACTCTGTTTTTTCTGAGGGGCCTCTGACAAATTATGTCCTAATTCACTACTATCAATGTTTGCTTTCAAAAAAGAGATGAAAAATTGAGTCATATGCTCTGAATTGGAGCCTGGAACGTTATTACACTTCCAAACAACCCATTCCCTTGTTGTCTGTGGCCAAGGTCAACAGTGGTGTGTCCATTTTTTAAAAAAATGTGATCTTGCTGTAGCCTTCAGCAAAATAAATACAGGAGAGAGATGTTCCCTGCAGTTGCCTGGGGTCTGGTGACGTGGACTGGCTCCCACACTGCCGAGTCAATGGGAGAAGAGGCTCATAGCCTATGGGTGGAAGTCTCTGAATTCTGGACTGGCTCATGAATCCCTAACCATTTTCACTGGTTACGAGGCTTGGGTGTTACCTGTTTGTGCCCCCCCCCATCTTAAGCACACGTCACCTGGTCCAGGTAGCCTCAGGTTTAGAACTGAAAGCCACTTACTTCATCTCTTCCCAGACCAAATGTATGGTAGGCAGCCACCTCTTCAAATCAGCCCATCAGTTCCTTGTCGGCCAGGTAGTTTTACAATCCCTTGTTAATTACTCCTCATTCTTAGAGTGCTTTGTTTTGCAGCATCTCCCTCTCCCTTTTCGTGTCCCCATATTAGGGTAACTTTTCAGGTGATGGGAAGCATTAAGAAGCAGGTGCATGAATGTGCCCAGGACTCCACATTCTGCCTTAGGCTGTGATGTTGCCTGTGGGCAACTTGCAACATATCAGAGCCACCAAACCAAAGCAGCGATTATCTCTCCCCACCCCCAGTCTGTCTGTCTCTGTGTGTCTCTCTCTGAGTTAAAATTTCCTCCCTCCCGGCTAATGGAACATATTAATTGCTTGGTGCAACAGCTGAAGACAGTGGTAGCTGGTCCCCTTTGGGGCTGATGGGGCAGAAGCCAGGGAGCCCACCACTAGGTGGCGCCAGAGCCAATGAGAGAGGCAGAGCCAACTAAGTCTAATTTTGTCCCCATTCTCCTCCTTCCTGCTGACTTCTACAAGGTGCAAAACTGAGACTGTCGCAGCTCTCTAGCTGCCCCTGTCTAGAGGAGAATCAAGCTAATCTATACTACCATTTGAATACTTTTTGTAATAAACTATCCCTGGCTTGCCACCACTTTTGTGTCTTAATGTGTATTTATTTAAGTACATTCAACATGCATGCGTGCACACACATTTGATATCCAACCTTCCTTCCATCATGAAGCCCAAGGCAGGATACGCAGAATTCCCAACCAGGCATTGATAAAATTCAGGCTTGCTTAGCTTCATCAAGCTGGTTGCATCTTCTGCCTTCAGACCATGACCTGGGCTCAACCTGGTTTCCCAGGTGAGCTCCTCATTTGGCAAAACCAGCAAACACCTACAAATACTTACAGGGTTGTTTTTAGAGAACCATGTGGCTTCTTGTTGTAAGTACCAAGTGCTACGTGTGAAATGGGTGATCAGGATTGCTGATTATTTGGACTGTGTTACTTATGGCTCTTTCCATCTCGCCAAAGCGAAGTGCTTACCTTCAGGTACATATCTTCACACCTCAATGCTGGGAACCTCATTTATCCAAATGATTTTGGGTGGGTGAGGAAGAACGCAGAGTATGTACATTACCAAAGAGTGAGGAAAATGGGGGGCGTTGCTTATATTGGCCCACATCTGCAGAAGACAATTGGCTATTGCGACAAAGTCAGGAGCATTTTGGATAAGTGAGGGTCAGTCAACTTTCTGTTCTCCTTCTTCTCCCCTCTTCAAGTAAACTGGAACAGTTCTCCACAGCTAACCAAAAATACGAGGTAGCTACTGGAGTACCCAAAAGGTGTGCTCAGAATCAGTAGTTTACAATCGATGGATGGTGATGAAAACTCGTTTCCTGCCTCTATGATGCGCCGTCGGCACCTTCTGTTGCACAACCATTGCATTCCATTTCTCATTATGTGTTGGGTTCCCTTTACTTTGTGCTTGTGACTGATTTATTAGGAGGAGCAGTCCTCTCGTTTTTTTAAAGCTTTTTTTCCACCTCTCTGTTCCTGAAGGCTGAGGACAGATGGCATTTAGAGTCAGGGCTGTGAAGTGTAACATGCTAAACTTTTAAAATAAGAATGTTTTTCAACAAGAAAATACATTGCATAGCTTCTGACAGACATCCTATTTTTATTTTGTTGATGAAGAAATGTCGTGTTCCTTCAACCTGGGCTTGCCTTTGGCCCACTCTCAAAACCACAGGGACAATAGTGTCAGGCTAACACTCCCAAGAGCTATGAAAACTGAAGCTGTGGCAGCCAGTGTCCCTTAGCTTCTGGCTTATTGGAGGTCTTCCCTCAACAATTTGCAAATGGTTACACATTTCTTGTTTCCCCCCACTTTGGGGCAAATTGCTGTGCTTTAAATGCAATGCAATGTTCTGCAAGTTGAATACACCTGCAGTGCTCATCTGCAGATGCTTTTCAAAATGGAACACCCAGCCGCTGTCATAAATTCAATTCATATTTACAGCTGCTTCAGTGGTTAATAGTATTATTGTCCATTGCCAGCTTTTTTTTGCTGCTGTGACGGATGCCTTATTGCATGGCATGGCAGTAAATTCTGGGCAAATCATCGTTGCTAATGATATTTGCCGGCAGGCAGGAATTGCTGCTTCACTCTTCTCAGCTATGGTTCTCTGCAAAAGGAGCCGGATAACGTTTGGCCTCTTTTTGCTTTGTAGAAATTATGAGGCGCATAAAACCCCGACCAAGAAATATGCCAAAACCAAGTACGACTTTGTGGGAAGAAACCAGAGTGAACTTTCTGTCTTGAAGGATGACATTTTAGAGGTAATGCAGCGCTTGTTTTGACCTTTCCCCTTCCCTGGTAATTTTCTGCTCCGTGCGGCACGCTTCTTGAATCATGTCGCTAAAAGTTTCTGTGGAGCTTAGGGAAATTTGCATTTAATGTGATTAGTTCAGCTGCATGCTTTTTTTTTTCCCCTGGAAGCATTCAGAGAATTGAGAGCATTAGAACAGAAGGAGATGCTAGGGGAACGTGTGACCCTGCAGACTTTCTTGGACTCCAGCTCCCACCAGCATGGCCAATGGTCAGGGATGATGGGACTTGTAGTCTAGCAACATCTGGAGGGGCACAGATCCCCCACCCTGGACCTCCTGCATGCAGAGCCACAGGATCCACTCTTCTCTGGACCCTCCTAAAGCAGAGAACACCACTGTCAGCTGATTAAAAACTGCATTTTAGGTGTGCAGCTTTGAAACTGTTTCCCCAGGAAACCCTGGTGGTTCCTTGCAAGCATATAAAACCTTGCTGTAAACATAGGTTTGTTTAAATCAGGGTTTTTTTATATAATCCTCAAAACACTTGCAGTCGGTCTGCAAATATATCACTGGGCATGTTGCATGTTGTGACTGCTTGTAACGTGCGAATTACAGGAAAAGCCGAGTCCGTTGTAGCTATATTTGGAAATGTAAGAATATTCAGAATCCTTTTTAAAATGCTGAAGAGAACCTGCAGAAGACCTGGGTTCAATCCATTTAGATGAATCAGATTGCAGGTGATGGAAGAGCCCTGTATGGAGCACGGTTGCTAGGCAGAATTAGACCATGGTGGGCAATATTCTGTTCTAGGGTAAGGGAGTGCCCTGTTTTTTCCTATCATGTAGGTGACGAGCTGACTTCCCACTTCCTTATGACCACGTTTGCTTTGCTCCAGGTTCTCGACGACAGGAAGCAGTGGTGGAAAGTCCAAAACGCCAGCGGGGTCACAGGATTCGTGCCAAACAACATCTTGGAGCCTCTCCGATCTCAGGAAAGCGGCAGTGCGGAGCCATCGTATACGCACACCATACAGGTATATATCCCCCGTTCTGTAGATGGTTCTTGCAGGAGAAAGGCTCAGGCCAATCTGTAGAATGATACCCCAGGAACGCCAAGCGAAGCAAGCTCATTCTGGGAGCCTGGCAAAGCCAGTTCTATCTCAGCGTGGCAGTTGCGGAAGAGAGTCAAACAGGTCAGGTGGAGAGCTTTCCGTCAGGCAGAGATCAGCCTGGCAATGGCGCCATCAGGGCAGAAGAACAAGCAAGGGTGCCCCCCCCCAACAAAGCTAGGCTAACTGCTAGGAGTGTAACAATATCTGGATGAACAGCCATCCTGCAACTCCAGCTCCAAATACGCATCTTTCCTGGATTCCTCGGCAAACTTGTTAAACTGTCGGGCTGCAGCAGCCTGACTGAAAGACTCCATCCTGACAACTTGCTTAATCTTTGTATTAAATGGCGTTTGTGAGTGTCAGTTTCAAAGCACAGTAGATTATCTTGCAAATGCAATACAGATTCACTTCACCTTTTATTTACAAGCTGACTTGATTCTTCCTCGTGTGGAGCAGAATCCGTCCCTTTAAAGAGTTGTCTTTAAATATATTTAAGTCCTCCATTTATCTGTATTATTTAGATTCAAAGTCCGCTTGTGGATTTATTTGCGTTTCAAATAATTTCAAATGCTTGTTCTATGTCGCTAGCTGTTGATGCCAAAGAGGGAATTTGAATTATTTAAGGTAGGGTTGTGTTCCGCACCCCTTTTCTGCTGCCACTTCCTCCTTGACATTCCCCCACCCCTCTGTAAGTTTGAACCCTGACCTTTTCTCAAATTTTGCACTGCATGTGTGTGGACTGATGGTTTTCTGGCTGGTTTGAGGTGGAAGTATGAAGCTTTGACTGTATAGAAAAAGTTCTCTAGATGCCATGTGTAGCCACTGAGTGCTGTGAAAATTCTTTTTGTGTTTTTAAGGTTTGGGAACAAGCTTTGTAGTTGATGGTGCACTTTGCAACAAAGTGCCTTCCTTTTTGCTGCTAAAATCGGAAGCAAATAAGGATTCAGTAAAACTGACAGTTTCAAATAAAACACACAGCTATCCCTCCACCCTTTTGTTGACCCTGACACTGTAGCAGACAATGACTTGTGTATGATATGTACAGATGTCATTTAGATGCACCTGACTTTTGTCACTCGAGATGCAGAATTTTGGGACCCACCTTATTTCTGTGACTGGACATTGTTTTAAACTGTTTTTAATACTGGTTTTTAATTGCTGTAACCAACTCTGTGATCTTAAAGGTGGAGGGCGGGTATTTATTATTAATAATAAAACAATAACAACAACAGTTTTGTTCTATATTTCTATGTTTCTAAAGGAACCCATATTGTTCATGAGGTTTAGGTTTGCTGTTCCTTTTCGCTTCTTAGAATAAGGCAATATTCCTCTCTGTTCCTGAACTAAACCATAGTTTCATGCTCCAGCTAAACCTGTCTGATCTTCCCTTGAAATTGCGTCGTTTTCAGTTGTATTGTCTGAGCCAAAAGCTAAAGCCTTTAATAGGATAATGAAGATTTTCCATTATTTACCATTCATTATTCAGAGGCTAAGATACTGACTTATACAAATCGTAATGTAGCAATAAAGGCTGATGGAAACATTGGGAAGGTCTTGAATTACTGGTTTCAGGAGAATTCCAGCCCTAATTCCTGGAAAGTTGATAGAGATAATAATAATCTGGGCAAGCATTGATTACGCTTGATCAGACTCAACCTTTGTCTCTTGTGAAACTACAGTGTGTACTTTCACTATTTTCAATAGTTGTGCAGTGGAGAGTTGGCCATATTTCTTCTTTTTTTTTTTTTTTTTTGGGTTTTCACATTTTATATAGACAAAAACAAAACACATAACACCAAAACAAACATAAAAAAAAACAACAGCAAACATGAATAGTTCCAGAAAGTCTTATTTTCTAACCCTAGTCCTTGACTTCCCCCCACCCCCTCCCTTGCATCCCTGTTCCCAGGTTTATGTCAGCAAGTTAGCATTTCTTCCTTCTTAATATTAGTCCTTTTATAAAAACAAAAAATAAGTTTTCCCTAAGTTGGACCCCAATTCTCTTCCCTCGATTTCTCATTTTTTCTTGAGTAATTTCCTTATTACTAAACCCCTGGTCTTGAGTGTTATTTAAGTTTATGCTTCCCTCCCTCCCATCCCCGCTTTGCGTCCTTTCCCAAGACATGTCCAAAATAACAGTTTTTAGCCTGGATTCCGCACATATTTCTTCTTCATCATCACCTTCATCTTCATCTTCATCATCATCTTCTTCTTCTGGTGTCCTTAGCTTTCTCCCCAACCTCAGGTCCTCAGGGCTGCTCACAAAGGGATAATAATAATTCAGAACAGCATATAAACCATTAAAAAAACTTTAACAAGAATTTTAACAGTTCCATCTGCAATCTCAGCAATAGCAGTGGACAGTATACAACACTCTAGCTAGTTTCTATAGCAGAAGTGAATAACCTATGACTACAACTCCCATAATCCCTGACCTGCCTTGGCAAGGACTGCTACAGGAGCGCAGCCACCACAGAAAAGGCCCTGAAGAGGCGATCTGAGTAGATTCTTCCCTTAACAACCATAGCATACAGGAAGTTTCACATGGGACTAATAGGTCCTTAAGATTTAAAGGGCACACAGCACACTCCCAAATATAGTACGTTTGAACAGAGAACTGTACCCATATATTTTCCTCTCACAGGGAGAAAAGCACCTCAGGAGGGTGATTTTGAGTGCAGAAATGATTTAATCACTACCTTCCCTCAGAACTGTTCCTCCAACCCAAACTGCTTTTGTTGTTCCTGTTCTTTTCAGGTTACAGGCAATAGTATGTGACATCTAATTTGGTCCCTGGGTGCCTGAACTCCACATCATTTAGGATAATACTTATACTTTAAATTGCATTTGAGGCATGGGGTGGGGGGTTTTTTGGCTTTGACTATGGAGTGTTGAGGTAATTGAAGGCCATAAGGAACTGAGGAGGGGGTCCACAGCTTGTTAGGATGGGAGCCTCTCATGTGTGTATTTTCTTTTTTTAAAAAAAACACCCCTGCAACTTGGTAGGATCCTGTATGGAGTTTGGTTAGTTTGGGAAGGGATATAAATTTTTGAGCAGGCCCAGGAAATGATTAATAACTGACTATCTGGGCAAGATCAGCACATTTCTAACAAAAAACCAGAGAAACTAATCCTGCAGAAGTGTGTAAGCATGTTCGGGAAAATGAGTTAGTGGTCCTCACACTGCGATCTATCAAGCAGAGGGAATTGCAAAGTCACAACATATATCAAACAGCAGGCCTAGATTGTTTCCATGTTTTGTTTGCACTGTGTGGTGTGAAGCATGTTGTTGGAGTGTTCCGGAATTTCTGCTGTGCTGATCAGTTTTCATTTATCTGTTGGTTTGTTGGTGTTTTATATACTGCCCAATTAACCATGTCCTCTGGGTGGTTCACAAATTTAAAACAATATGAATGCAGTCACGAGCAATCAGGTAAAACAATGCAGAAGCGGCATGAGTCCAAAAATTACCAAGCCTAGGCTTAATAAAGCAGCATTGAAAACCCAGCAAGGGGGCAAACCACAATAGTTCTAATTAAAAGGCCCAGGAGAGCAAAAAGCGAGGAAAGATCATAGGGCCCAGGCAAGCATCTGCGAGGAGAGCGTTCCATGGCTGGGGTGTCACCATTAAGAAGGCCCACCTCACTACCTCAGATGGATGAACCTGGAGAAGACTCTCCAACAATGATCCTCATGTATGTTTTCCCTTTTGGTTTTTAACACATTGGTTACCTAGTTGCAGCTTCATAATACTCACAGTAATGAAACCATTCACGGATGTTTGGGTCAGACTTTCACATTAGGCAAGTTGTGGACTTATTTTGGTCTTGGATATATTCAGTATTGAGGCTGCTGCCCCCTTTGAGTCCTCCTGCCAATTTTGTCTCCTTGACCCTGTGAAAGCAGAGCCCTGCCTCTAAACCCTGTCCCTACTGGTAGGTAGTTTTCATAGTCTGTTTTGAAGCAGTTATTTGTTGTCAAAACTTGCTATAATCCATGAATCCCACTTTTTAAATAAAAAAACGGATCTGAATGTATTGCATGAGCAAATTGAACTCTATTTTTATGAAGGAGGTTTCACAAGACCCCAAGGAAGAGGCAGGAGGTTTCCTGAAATGATCCCATCCCCAGGGCACTTAGTAAGTCTGGACCTGGCCACACCTGAGCTGCCAGATCACCCAAGAGCCCCCAAGAGCCCCCAAGAGCCAGAGCTTCAGTTCCACCCTCCTCACTGGAAGAGACAACAGCCAGAGTCTTCCACCCAGGAAGACGATCATAGAATTGTATTGTTGGGAGTGGCCCCAAGTCCAGCCCCCTTGAAATGCAGGAATCTCAACTATAGCATCCATGACAGATGGCATTCCAACCTCTGCTTAAAAACCCCCAAGGAAGGAGCGTCCACCACCTTCCGATGGAGTCCATTTCACTGTTGAACAGCTCTTACTGTCAGAAAGTTATTCCTGATCTTTAGCCAGAACCTCCTTCCTTGTAACTTCTTGTAACTATTGGTTTGGCTCCTACCCTCTGGAGCAGGAGAAAATAAGCTTGCTCCATGTGACATCCCTTTAGATTTTTGAAGATGGCTATCTCAGTCTCCTCTTTACTAGGCTAAACATACCCAGCTCCTTCAACCGTTCCTCATAAGGCTTGGTTTCCAGACCCTTGATCATCTTGGTTGCCCTTCTCTGCACACTTTCTAGCTTGTCAATATCTTTCTTAAATTGTGGCACCCAAAACTGGAAACCGTACTCCAGACATGGCCTGACCATGACAGAATAGAGTGGTACTGTTACTTCCCTTGATTGGGACGCTATAATTCTGTTGATTCGGCTTCAGAATCATTCATCAGTACCTCCTGCCTTCTCAAAACTCACATCACTAGAAAGAGCAGCCCACCCTTATGCCTGAAGTAGTTCCACCCC